CTTCCATCTAGCTCACCAGGGACTAAGGGGACAACTTTGCCATCTGCTCAGAGGGAGACAGGGCGGCCCCTGGGTGCACAGTGGGCTTCAGAGCAGGGATAAGTGGGGTGCAGTCTCCACTCTTGTGGGCAGAGGATCCCCCCTCCCCTCCACAGCTGCCCCTCCTCCTCTGTCCCTGCGGTCTGTGCTGCTAAGACCAAGTGCCTTTTGATGTCTCTAACCTGCTGCTGCTCCACTGGCTGGCGAGGTGCCCTTGGTTCTGCTGCTCCTCCCCAGCCAGCTCCTCGGGTTTCACAGGCCCTCCTCCCTCTTCCTCTGTCCCTCCAGAGAGGGCCCTGAGCTAGAACCCTGTGGGCTTGGCGTTGGCGTTGTGGTGAGAGTGAGGAACACAGGTCTGGCTAGCACGGTGGGTAGAGCCTCACGCCTGCACAGGTTCGGGGTCCTGGCTTCCCCGGGGGCCGCATTCAGCTAGGAGCAGAGCAGTCCCCCAACCCCAGTCCCCAAGTTCCCAGTCACCATGCCTCGATCCCGGCCACACTGGCGCCCCTTGCCTTTCTTACTGGAGGAACACCATTTGCCCTGGAATGTTCCAGAATGCCCAGGCCCAGAGCCGCATGCCACCACCCCACCCCCGGAATAGCCCCCACGGTCTGAATGCCCCAATGTCCTTACGTGCCAGGAGAAAATAACCACACTTTAAGACACTTCAACTGGATGGGGCCACCCTTGCTATTTTTAATTCATGCTGTGAAGATATTTTAAGAACCTCATGACTAACGAGTGATAAGATTGTGCGTAATTACACCTGGCCGTGTTTGGCATTTAGCCAGGAATCTCCTGGCGGCGCAGGACGCGCCAGACGGTGCTGGTTCTGAACAGAGTTTGGTTCAAGTTCACAGTGGATGGGGAAGGCGGAGCCCCAGGGCTGCGGGGGGGGGAACCTCCCCGAGATGGAGGAGCAGGGACGGGGCCACACCAGAGCCAGCCGTCGGAGGGAGGCGCGGCCAGAGGCAGGTGTCTGGCCGCTGGGTCTGCGGGGAGAGCCAGCCCGCCGTGGCAGGTGGACCTGCAGGGGAACCGATGCCCAGAAGCTCCGTGTAGGGTTAAATCTCAGCATCTGAGTCACACAGACTTGGGCTCCGGGTCTGATGCAGCTTCTTAGAAGCTGTGACTCAATGGGCCTCCCCGGTGGCGCAGCGGTTGAGCGCTGGGCCGTGAAGCTGCCCGCAGCCTCTGCAGCGCTGGTTCGATCCCCGGCTGCTCCCCGGCCACTGGAGGAGGGTCCCACATGGCGCGCAGACCTCTCCTGCCGCCCGCTGCTCCCCTCAGCGGTGTACTTCGGTCCTTCTGCCTGCTCTGCTCCCCGCTCTGGCTCTGGTGAATTCTCTCACCCTCCCGCGCTTCTGACTGTACCCAGTGCTTGTATAAACAAACAAACAAGCAAACAAACAAACAAATAAATAAAAAGCGTGCCTCTAAAAAAAAAAAAGAAGCTGTGACTCAAGACAATTCACTGCTGAGAGCCTTCCTTTCCTTATCTGGGAAAAACAGGGATTAAAAATAGAGCCCCTGGGCCTCCCCTGGTGGCGCAGCGGTTGAGCGCTGGGTTGCGAGGCTGCCTGCAGCCTCTGCAGCGCCAGTTCAATCCCCGGCCACCAGCGAGGGTCCCACAAAAAGAAAAAAAAAAAGAGCCCCTCCCTCAGCGGGTTCTAGGGATACTTGAGGCCACTCAGGCAAAGTCCTTGACATGCCTCTTGTGACGAGACCCTCAAGTAGCAGCGTTTACCCTCTCAGTAGCTTGGAGGGAGGGGTAGCCACGCCATTTTATAGACCAAGCGGAGTCAGCGTTTCCTTTTGGACTTCAGGCCATGGCTGACTCTCCAGGCTCCTGCAATAGAGCCCCTCGCTGCCCAGGGGACCATGGTCAGGACAAGCTGAATTTCCTGACACCTGCCCTGTGTCCTCTGTGCTGACAGCACAGGATGCCACCTTCCCCCAGGCTAGCGGCTCAGCGACTGGGGGTCACCTATGAACCCCCAAGAGCACTCCAGAGTCTCCCACTTCTAAACCTTATGTCCTGCTGTGACCCCTTCCTGGAATGCCTTCCTGCCCTCGCTTCCTTTTTTTTTTTTTTTTTTGCAAAGATTTACTTATTTATGCATGCAAGAGCTGGGGTACAGGACAGAGGTGCAGGGGTGAGAGGATCACCAGAGACAGGGTGGGGAGCAGAACAGGCAGATGGACTGAAGTACACTGCTGAGGGGAGCAGCGGGGAGACAGGAGAGGTCTGCGAGCCATGTGGGTCAGCTCTCTGGCCGGGGATGGAACTCAGGCAGTAAGAGTGATAACGCTGAGACTTAACCCCTAGGCCACCAGGAAGGCCCCAGATATTATTTTTTGATGCACAAATAGTTTGAGGGTGGTTAAAAAAAAAATCAAAAACTTGCCCAAAGTCGCACGGCTGGTACATGGGGGCCCCTCCTGCCTGTGGGCTCCAAAACAGAAACCACTTTCCCCCAGTTCCGCTACCAGATCCAACTGAAGTGCGCAGATCCAGCAGGCTGAGAGGCTTACCCGACGCCCGCGTCTGCTCAGGGACACCCTTGGGGGCGCGTCCTCGCGTTCTGGAGGCGCCCAGACGGGAGAAGGCGGCTCACCCGGCAGCTCGCCCAGCCCTGGTCTCCAGGCAGTGAAAGGGGCGGAGCGCGCGGCCAGAGCGGGATGGAGACCAGCGGCCCGCGGGCCCCGCGTGGAGCCTGGACGCCCGGACCGGGTGGACACGCGCCTCCGGGCCGAGGTGCGGCTCCCCCCCCGCCCCCCCCACCCCCCGCGCGTCCTGGCGCCGGCCCGGCGGGCGATGCGCTGTCCGTGCACGCGGTGCTGAAGGCGCGCGGCCCGGGCGCTGCGCTCCCGCGCGCTCAGTCTGCGCTCTCCGCCCTGCCGCTGCTGCGTGCCCTGGCGCTCTACTACTTCGTGTGCTTCCACTCCCGCTGGGCTTTGGCGACCTCGGCTGCCGCGCCCACCCTTCCGTGCGCGAGCTGTGCGCCCTCGCCACGGGGCTCAGCGTGGCCATTCTGAGCGCCGAGTGGTGCCCGGCTGTGTGCCAGCCCCTGCGCGCCCGCGGCCTGCTGCGCTCCTCTGGGCCGTCTCCTTCGGCCTCGCCCTACCCAGGGCGGTCATCATGGGGCAGAAGCACGAACTGGAGACATGCCGGGTTCTCACTGGGCATTTCCAGGTGGGCACTGGGCCTAGTGCCGTCAGTGGCTCCCAGCACCGACCCACACCGTCGGCAGGGCAGCTGCCTGACCATCGCTATCTCTTGCGGGGAAATGGGGGTGGGGGAGAGAAGTGGAGGCAGGCACACCACTGGGCCACAGACACTGGGTCAGGCTTGGAACTGGGGGCTGGACACTCACCTCCGATCACCTTCCTTCCCAGGAGTTCGTGGCCACGAGGCAGTGAGTGAACGACGTTGGTCCTCCCAGTCCATCAGGGCCCATGGGTTTGGCCATTAAACAAACATTAAGAGTAAAACCCACTTAGTAAGGCAACTATATTATGGTTGCACTAGTAACTAAAAAACACAACAGCCTCCTGCTATGACATACACATGCAGACAGAGAAAGGTTGAGGATGAAGCACAGGGAGGCAGCAGGATGGGTGTGCTAAGGAGATGTGAGTGATCCTATTTGTCATCTTCACCCAGGATCTGAACCTCAGAATGCCTGGCACTGAGCCCACAGCAGATACCCAGAGATGTGTGAAGCCAGAAAGGTCTGGTGAAACCTGTTATTTTCCTAATTTGCTGTATGCTATTGTTTGTACAGAAATAACAAGGAGCAAACAGCAAGTCAGTTCCCCTTGCTGTTGTCCTGACAGCAATGCTGGACGTTGGCTGATGGGCCCAGATTCTGGGGTCACACCAGCCTGGCGGCCCCTGCACTTTATTTCAGTGTAACTTCATTTCAACCGATTACATCAGCGACATCCCATTTCCAAATGAAGAAACATTCTGATGTACTCGGGTTAGGACCAACATATTGGGGGGATACATTTCAACCCTGAACAGCACTCCAACCCACCCTTCTCAGTAGGGTGACTTGCCACCCTAGGCAAAGACCCTTTTAGAGGACAGGACCCAGAGTTAGAGTGGCCAGGGATCCGGACAGAGGATGAATGTGCACCAGAGTTCTAGAAAGAAAGGCACAGGGATGCTGGGACAGTGTATTCTGCGAGTGGCAAATGCAGTCACAGAATTCTAGATCCTTCTCTCCACGTGAAGGGCTTTAAAAGTCTGCACTGGCCTTTCCAGCTGTTCTGTTCATTAAAACGCTATAACCTGCTAAGTGCGCAGCCTGCCAAGGCAAGGCCACCGAAACAGCTGTGGACACTGAAGTGGCCTTGGGCCTGGGCTCTCCTGCAGGATCTGGGCCTCACCTGAGAGGCTGAATGCAAACTTCTTTCTTAGAAGCTTCCTTGAAGCCTGACTGCTGTGATCGCCTAGACCCTGGTCGGTACCTAGTATGCGTATTTGGCATGTGCTCTCCCCAGCACCGCTCCCAACGAGAAGCTGGAGCACTCTGATTGCACACAAGGCTTAGGAGCGGCAGCATCCACGATTAGATGCCGCTGGGAGTCCACAACTGGGTAGGAAGCAGCGGTGACATTCGTGTTAACATCCTGGCACCTGCAGGCACAAATCTCAATTTGTTCTGATACTTGATAGCTGCGTGATCTCAGACGAGTGCTTTAAACCTCGCTGAGCCCTACTTTCTTCTGTAAGATGGTTCCCAGATACCTATTTCACTGTTCTTATGTTGGTTCAATGAAATAACGGACAATTAGTCATCTAGCCTAGCACACAGTGGGTGCCTCACAACCCCTGCAGCTCACTGCTGGTCATTTCATAGTAAGCGAACACCCAGGGAGTTGGGAGACTTGGCAGAGGTAGTCCCTGAAGATCTCTGACAAACTATTTCCTCCCAGAAAATGCAATTAATACCCACGAGAGAAACAAATGCACTGAGAGCTTTATTGATAAGCCGGAGCAAACAAGCATATTAGTTTGTTTTTCAAATTTAAATTAACTAATAAAATGGGAGAGAACAACAGCCTTGCAGTCACTATTTACAAAAGACAAACGTAACTAAAGAATGTAAGTTTTTATTCCAAATTAGGAATAATGACATATACAAAGTGATTATTTTATAAACATGGATCTAAGTCTTTTATACTCAGGGAATTTTTTTCTTAGGGGAAAAAAAAGATTGACATTAACTCTTTGGCATTATTTTTCAAAATAATCTCTTCTTGGATTGCTATCTACTAGAGTGCTTACCGATGTCTAGGATGGATGTGTATAAGAAAGCACACTGAGAGTTACTTTCTGAGTTATTTTTAGACTTTTCCTTTGGTTTCAGGCCACTCCAAAAAGCCATGCGGGGTAAGATGGACTCTGGGGTCCAGAATCCAGGAGTCTGACTCGTGCTCTGCTTCTGTCCAGAGTGTGATCCTGGCGAGGGCCTCTCTGCTTCTCATCTTTCAAATGGGGAGACTCATCCTGGCCACACGGGCTGTCCAAGGAGAGGGAACCGTGATAGCACCTGGCCTGTAGGGGGGGGGCTCGACAATGCTGGTTAAAAAGACATGGCTGGGCCCTCAAAGTGGAGCGTCTTGCTGCCTTCTCCTCTGTCCGGGCTTCCTCTCTGGTCAGGGACCAAGCATTCCTCCGAGCTCACCATCTGAGGAGCTGAAAACTGAGCTTCAGGAACTTACAGCAGAAGTCTAGTGCTGACCAACTGGTTTCCACACACCTTTGGCGGATCAGTTGCTCAAGCCAGCGGGTCCTCTTCCCTTTGTAAGGCAAATTCTGCTCCATTAAGTCAATCTCCATAATCCAAAATCCCTTCCTGAAACCCTTTTAAAGAAAGTTTCTTTTTCCCTTTGCCCCTTCTCAGAGGGAGGGTATTTGGCCAACTATGCCAATGGCATCCTATTGGCTCTGGACAATTTGTTATGTTTTATTAACCTCAATGCCTCTGGGCTAACGTCTAAAAAAGCAAACTTCTAGGCAACAGCATCTTTCTTGTTAAACGACCTACTTAGTTCTTTCCTTGTCTCCTGCCTTTACAGTTAAAAAGCTTTTTTGGAATATTGCTTTGTAGTAGTTTACAACCAAACTCATGGCCACAGCCCGAAATACTGGTCCCTTTTCCAGATAACCCAAGAACTTAGAGAAGGGAGCTTGTGTGTAGAAGCCTGCGGAGGCCCTGACAGCAGGTTAAACTTTGTTCTCCATGAAGTGAACTTGGACACGCTGGGGGACGTGGTGTGGCCCGGAACTCAGCAGACGGACATGGCTTCTTGCTCAGGTCTGGCTCGTCCTCCTCACGCTCGGGAAGTCCCCATCCACCCACCTCTGGGCCTCAGTTCCCCAGCACCTGCACGAGGGGGTGCACAACAGACAGATCCCAGGCCCTTCCAGTTCCAACACCCGGTGGTTCTGGTTCTTTCTTTAGCCTCAGTGGGACGAGGCACGGAAGGCTCCAGAAAACCCGCCAGTGTGGTCCTCAAATGTGACGTCCAGTCAGAAAGAAGAGCGGCCGGTCCTCCTTGGCGTTGGCCGTCTGGAACTCGTCCCGCAGGCGGAACTGCCATTCGTCCTCCAGCTCCAGGCGGACCACCGTCTGGCGGAGGGAGTTCCGGTCCTGACAGATCACACATAAGGTGGCACCTGCGGGGACAGGGGCACAGGTGCGCGAGAACAGGTGAGTCAATCAGGTGAAAGCACCGCCGGGACTCAACTTGCAATAACGAGAGGTGGAAGGAAGGTGGGCCACGTGATCCGTTTCCTCTGGAATGCTCCATTATCTTAGTGAGAAACACAGGGCGATGTTACCTGGCAGCTCTGGCAGGTGAGACAATATGGGGGCAGAAGAAACGCTGACAGAGAAGTGAGTGGAGGAGCACTGGAACGGGACCGCTGGCCGGATCACAGGCCCAGCTTCTCAGCTCGTCCTGGTGTGAACCGCCACCCCAGCCCACCTCACAGCAGATCCCACCTTCTCCCTGCCAGCCGCCCACCCACGCAGGCCTACCTCTCCCATCTGCCCAGCCACACGTATCCATCCCCTTCAGCGTGCATCAATAGTGTGATCATGTTTGTGTATTTTTATTCCATCATCTATTATCTACCCCCCATCTGCCTATATTTCTATTTCTCTATCCAACCACCCACCCACCTTCCTGTCTTCCTTCCTTCCCACCCACCTAGCTAGCTAGCTATCCATCTGTCCCTCCACCTGCACCTATACCTCCCTAGTTCCCCATCTCGCTCCCTGTCCATCCACACACCCATCCAGCCCCTTATCCATCTCTCATCTATCTAGCTACACCCCTGCCCACTTCCTCCCCTCCTTCTTACCTAATATCCTGTCCTCCCTGAGGACAGAAATCTCTTGCTAGCTCCCAAGGCCTCACACCAGATCGGTGCTCAGTGAACACCAGCTAGGGAGGGAGGTCAGAGGTAAGAGCAGCCAAGGGGAGGTGATCTGAGCTGGAGTAACTTCAGTCCCACAGAATGAACGCTCGTCACGCTGAAACATCCCAGCGTGGAAACAGCCGCAGAAGCAGACAGGCTGGGATGGACGCTAAGCAGCGCGCAGGGAGCCAAGACCAGGAGGGAAGCCTCATCTATCCACCAGGAGGAGGAACACCCAAGGCCAGCCGGGGCCCATGTCAGGAATTCGGACCAAAAAGGAAGGCAGAAGCTGAGACTAGCTGTGACTCGCCTACAGGAGGGGCTGGTCCTGTCTCCCTGCACAGGCGCAGGGGAAAAGGCCGCCCAGGGGCCCGGCCCAGCCTCCTCGGGCCTCCCTGGGTGGTCGGGGGAACCACGGGCCCACTCTGTGCCTCAGTTTACCCGTTCTCAGCAAAGAGGCCCCGCACCAGCCACAACTGCCTCAGCGGTGCCACGTGAAAGTCCAGGTAAGAGGAGGGAGTTACCTTTCAGAAAGTGGAACTTTTTCAAAAAGCTCGCGCCCACGAAGGAGTCGCACAGGTACAGCAGGAGTCCGCTGAACATGAAGTCGGCACAGCTGATGTTTAAAGAGTGAGGCCTGGAGCTCACGTAACACACCGAGATCTGGAAAAGAAGGACCTGGGGAGAAAAAGCCATCGCGTGCCACCACGCGCTCGGCACCCTGATGCCCGGCCTGGCCTCCAGCAGAGACTCGCTGCCCGGGCAAGCCCAGAGGTGGGGGCCAGAAACAGCGTTTCCATGTTATTTCCAAGGGGAGACCCTGAAAATCCACTGTCAGATGTGAGTCCAGGTCTCATCGCGGCGTGAGAGGGTCTGGCCCCAGGACGGGCCTGATTCGTCTCTCACGGCGCTCGGGGTGGACCACGGCCCATCCCTGGGCCTTTGTCCACGTGGGCGCAGGGTGAACCCCTGAGATGAAGCAGCCGAGAGGTTCTGTCCTGAGACCAGGGCGCGAGCCCAGCCTTCCAGGACTGTCGGGGCTGTTGGTTCGACCGTGGGAGTTACCTGCGACCCCAGGTTAAGGTAGCAGTCCACAGACAGCACCGGGTGGGCGAGATTCTTCAGGGAGAGCGGGAAGAAGCGGTGGCTGTGGTGCTGGAGAAACTTCTCGAGCAGCAGCTGTGCGGGGGCCGCCAGGAAGGTGTGCTTGCTGTCGGGTGCGCAGATGTACTGGGCGGGCACGGCGGCCACAGGGGTGTCGGGCACCTGGGGGAAGGGCGGGTCAGAGCCTCCCGGCCCCTAGCAGGAGGTGCTTTCCGAGGCTCCAGGCTGTGTGGGAGCAGGGGGAGGTGGCCCCGCAGTGAAGCCCCCACCCCAGGGAAGGTGACCGTGCAGCCGCCCCAGCTCCACTCTGCCAGGCAGACCTGCGGCGCGGGGCCGGCTCACCTTGGACGTGATGTGGAAGGACCTGTGCCCGCCCACGGCTATCTGCTTCTTCATCACACTGAAGCGGTTGAAGCGGCAGAGCAGGAGGCCGGCGCTGTGCACACGCAGGTTGAAGTCCACGTCGTCACACGTGAAGCTACTCGGAACCAGCGGGCAGATGAGACGGGGTGCCCTCAGCCCACCGTGCCCCCCACACCTGCAGCTTGGGGCCAGTGTCCGAGACCTTCCGGTCCCGGGCACACAAGGACAATGAGCAAGGCAGTCATGCCGTGGGGGTGCGTGCCAGAAGCAGCAGGGGACCCTCGCTGGGACTGCAGAGGGGCTGCCCGTGCTGACCACGCTGCACGCCGGGCACAGCCTCGGGGCTGTGCAGACGCCCCCCCGGGAAATGCTCACAGGCCACAGTTCTGCAGTGCAAGGCCAGGGGCCCAGCTGAGCCCCCCCAGGCATTTCTAGGCATTAGCATTATGATCAACAGGCTGAGGCACAAAATAATTGTTTTACCTACTTGGAAAAAAGAAAATGAAGCTCCCCGGGCAAAAATAACAGTCACTTTTTACAGCTGGGGAAAACAAGGCTCAGAGGTGGTGATCAGCGCTTGTAGGCGGCAGAACCCAGCTTCCCTAGCAGGTGGCCTGGCTCCAAAGTCCACACTCCCTGTGGGCTGCCTTGGGGCCCTGCCTGCACACAGCGGCGAGCGACGGTGGTGGCGTCACCCCTGAGACGGCAGCACGTCTGCACTGGGCATGTGGAGAGCGACATCGTGAAGTCACTCGATATTTTGTTCGGGGCTTAGGCAACTTCGAAGCCACGTGTTTGGAGGAGAAAAAAATCCAAAAGAAACAGCACGTAGTAGGACGTAAGTCCTGGAAGCATCGAGTGAACCGAAGATGACAGCCGTCATCTGTGCTCCTCTCCCCTGCACTAAAGCGTACAGCAAAAATACAAAAAAAAACAGAGTGGGTGCCGAGGGGGGCCAGGCGGGCTGTGGGCAGGAGCCCCTGGGCTGCTGGCCTGCCGGGCAGAGAGGAGGCGTGGGTAGGCCTGCGCCGGGGCCCGGAGAGAGGTGGTGCCGGGGCGGGGCTCACCGGTTCTGGTTGTACTGCACGTTCTGCGTCAAGTCCACGTTCAGGACGATGAAGTCGTGCACGTGGCAGCGGGAGAAGGGCTCCCGCACCTCGCGGCTCCCGGTCTTGCTGGACCACTTCCGCAGGCCGATCAGCGCGTAGTGGGTGATGTTGGGGGCGGCCTCGATGTGCTGCATGATGTGCTTCAAGGAGACGTTCCTCTCTGACCACGAGAAGTCCCTGCTGGGCGGGACAGCGCCGGCCCGAGGTTGACACCTGGTGACACCAGGGCCAGCTCTGCACTGGGCCGGCCAGCGCGCTGGTTTCCCAGCCCGACTGGTTGTATGTGCTGGACAGAGCTGAGGGGGTGGTGCCTGCCCTCCCCCACCAAGCGACCAGCGCGGCGCTAAGCCCCCGCAGCAATCCAAGACACAGGCCTCAAGCCGGGCCCTACGGAGGAAGAAAACGAGGCCCCCATGACGTGTCCAGTGGCTCACGGACAGAGCCCAGGTGTGACCGGTCTGGCTCCGCAGCCTGCGTTCTTCCCGCCGCGCCAACCCCCTCCCGTTGCCAGTCGGCAGAAATGAAGGTCACATGGGGGGAGAGCAAGGCTTCTCCATTGTGAATTCCAGGAGCGAGTGGAGAGGAAAGGGCTGCGTGGACCACCGCCCCTCGGTGGTGGTGTCGGGGTGTGTGAGGATGGTGAGGGACAATGAGGGACACCTGGTGACCAGCGAGGGGGGCTGAGGGAGGGGCTGTAGGCAGCAGGGGGGAACAGTCCAGTCCCCGGGGGCCCATCAAGATGCTTGAGTCCTCCGGACCTCTGATCTCTGTCCCCAGCCAAGAGGCTTAAACTAAACCCTCTGTGATCCACACCGTCCACGGACCAATAATCACATCGTGTCTAGATTAATCATCCACACCATTCAGATGAGTGATCACAAGACTCACAGATTAATCCATGTCAATGTCAGGTTCATCAATCCCCCCACATGCAGTCAGTAATCACACTGCGGAGACCAGCAGTCACACCATGCAGAGCAACAGTCCAGGAGGGGTGGGAAGGGGGAGAACAAAGAGGGAAGGAAGCACCGTGGTCTAAGCTGGTGGGTGCACAACGGTGGTGATGCCTGGTGGGGGATCCTGATATTGCTCAATTAAAAATAAATAAAATCTTTTTTAATATTTTTAATTGAGCAATATCAGGATCCCCCCATCAGCAACTCTCTGGGGACTACACCTGAGGGGGTGGGGGAAGCAAATATTGTTTAAAAAATGAACAGTGGTGTAAAAAATAAAAAATAATAATAAAAATAAATAAAATCTTTAAAAATAAATATTAAAAAAAGAAAAAATTGAAAAAAGGGAAAAAATAATAAAAAATAAATAAAATCTTTAAAAATAAATATTAAAAAAGAAAAAAATTGAAAAAATGGAAATAAATAATAAAAAATAAAATCTTTAAAAATAAATTAAAAAAAATTGAAAAAAGGAAAAAAAAATAAATAAAATCTTTAAAAATAAATAAAACATTAAAAAAAGAAAAAAAATTGAAAAAGGGAAAAAAATCCATACCGTTCAGGTTAATAATCCACACCATTCACAGATTAATTCTCACAACACATTTCCAGTGCAGGGATTAGCCCCCTTTGAAAGACGAGGAGAAGCTGGTGTTTCCCTGATGCCGCACGGCAAGCTCACACACCGCTGGACTTCAGGAGCGAGGCCGGGGGCCAGGGGGCCCGGGGGGGGCTCTGGGGAGCACTGGAGGGGCTGGGCGCTGGCAATACCCCATTTCTCCATACAGGAGCTGGCGAGGGGGTGTGTTCAGTTTGTGAACATTTCTCTACCTGGATGACCCAGTGTTTGCATGTGTTTTAAACTGAATCTGTACTGTGGTTTTTCTCTGTTCTATGTCAATGTCTTTTTCTTTCTTTTAAGATTTATTCATTTATGCATACAAGTCCTGGGGCACAGGCCAGAGGTGTGGGGGGTGAGAGGATTCACCAGAGACAGAGCGGGGAACAGAACAGTCAGACTAACTGAAATACACTGCTGAGGGAGCAGCGGGGAGACAGGAGAGGTCTGCTGCGCCATGTGGGTTGCTCCCTGGCCGGCTGGGGATTGAACTTGTGCTGCAGGGGCTGTGGATTGCTTCATATTGAGGTGCTTAACCCCTTGCGCCACCAGGGAGGCCCACCTTTTTCTTTTTAATTGAAAATGCAAGCTGGGAGCACGGGGATCTGCACCCTGCACAGCACCTCCTACCCCAGGCCTCTCAGGGGTCTCAAGGGTGGGTGGGCCTCTCCCCAGAGGACAGCAGCTCCCTGGTCTCGCTGTGTGGGGGTCTCACCTGGCCCTCTCCCCGCTGCAGTCCACGTCCACCACGTTCCACATCACGCAGGAGTCGTCAGAAATCACGATGAAAGGCCAGATATCCTGCGGCTTGATGCCCAGCTCCTCCTGCCGGTTCCGCTCGAGCTCCAGGTTGTGGTAGGACAGCTCCTTGATCAGGAAATGGGCGGCCCCTGAAATGGACCAGCCCCCACCTTGGGTCAGCCCTGGCCAGCAGCCGCACGGCCAGGACCAGGGAGGACAGGAGCCGCTTGGCCACACCCCACCAGGCCCAGGTAGCCACGCACCCTGGTCCACACCCCTGCTCCATCACTGTGGGCTGTGCAAGCAGAACAGGGGTCCCGGGGGGGGAAAACACTCCCCTCTGGGTGCACACACAGCCATCTTTTTTTTTAAATAAAGATTTATTTATGCATACAAGAGCTGGGGTACAGGCCAGAGGCACGGGGGGTGAGAGGATTCACCAGAGACAGAGTGGGGAGCAGAACAGGCAAACTGAAGTACACTGCTGAGGGGAGCAGCGGGGGAGACAGGAGAGGTCTGCCGACCATGTGGGTTGCTCCCTGGCTGGCCAGAGATCGAACCCGCACTGTAGAGGCTGCGCAGAGCTTCACAGCGCAGAGCTCAACCCGTTGTGCCACCAGGGAGGCCCACAATCCGTCTTTTTTATCCTGGATTTTCTAACCATTCCGTCAATAACCAAACATTAGGAATATTCAGCTTTAAAAAGTCCAATCAAAATAGCTTGGAAAGTCAAAAAGCAAAATGCTTCATGTGAAGTTTAGCTCTGTCATCTCTAGAACTTTCTCTCGAGTGTCCATTCACAGGCTGAGGGCAGCGGGGGAGCCTACCGACGCCGGCGCTGTTGAAGATGCTGGGCAGCACCAGCATGATGTGGTTGGGCCAGTACTTCTTGTAGATGGCCATCTCGTACTCCTTGACCACCAGCACGTGCAGGTGGCTGGCCCCGTCCATCGCGTGGTACAGGTTGAAGAGCCCGTGCTCGTGACGGCCGGTTGTGGGGGTGAAGGTTGGGCTTTTTATGTATTCGTGACTCTGGAAAATATGGACGGAATGAGGGCGCAGCTCTGTGAACAGTCCCAGTGACCCCTCCTGTGCGTAGCTGTGCAGGGCAATTTCTTCCATCAAAGAGGGAACCAACTTCTGCAGTCCCGGAATCAGCTAAGCCTCGGGACCTGGGCCCGGCTTTACCCATGAAGAGCAGCAAACGTGATGCTGGTCAGTTCTGAGGCTCACATGACACAGTCGCCCTCTCTCAGAATCCTCCCAGGAGCAAGCCTGGGACAGCGGAGGGAGGGGAGCCAGCCAGGGAGCAGCTGAGGGAGGGGGAGCTGAGGGAGGGGGAGCTGAGGGAGGGGGAGCAGCCAAGGGAGCAGCTCAGGGAGGGAAAGCAGCCACGGGAGCAGCTGAGAGGGGAGTAGCCAAGGGAGGGGGAGCAGCCAAGGGAGCAGCTGAGGGAGGGGGAGCAGCCACGGGAGCAGCTGAGGGAGGGAGGGAGAAGCACAGGAGGCAGCCCGGGGATGGGAGCCAGCACCGGGAGAACAGGGGTGTCCCAGAGGGCTCAGCATGCACTGCCCCCTGTGTGACTCAAATCCCGACCACTCACCCACACGGCCTAGAAATGAACGGTTAGCCCGCGCCTCTTCTATTTCAGTAACTGTTTTCTTGCTAAGTTTTGACTCCCTTGCGACCCCGCAAAGCACCTCCACAAAGTCCTAGCACAGCAGGGGCTCATAACCAGCTACTGGCACTGAGGAGAGTGAGGGGGCCAGGGACAAAGCCCCGACCGGGTCATGTCCACGGGAGTGTCACTGCGGTGCCCTCCTGCCACCCAGCTCAGAGGGTGACCTCAGCACAAAGGCCTCTGTGTAGCCTACGGATGTTTCATGGCTGGTTACGGAAGGCTGCGACGCCAGGCTCGGCGGGCCGTGCAGAGAAGGAAAGCAGCGGTGCTGACGGGGAAGTGCCCTGCGGGGGGCCGGCTGACTCTGGGGCTGGGCCACAGCCTGGCCCTGTGGGGTCCTGTGGGGACCGTGCCCATAGGGATGGCGCCGATGATGGGTATGAAGGCCCCTCGCGCCGAGATGGGGAGCCTTAGAGATTTACCCCGAAATGCTGATGGATGGAACAGCACCAAGGGCGAGACTCAAGGGTAAGGAAGGAGAGGGGCAGGGCGAGGACAGGGGTTGGCTGTGAGGTTACTCTGCTACCTCAGTGGTCGAAAGGGTACAGAAAAGACGCGGGAGCCGCTCTGTTATCTTCCAGCCTGCACTGGGGCCTCGTGCCAGTGACTCCAGATAATCCTCGCAGCAAGCGTTGCCAGGGTTAATATTGCCCAAGTTCCCACGAGGGTAAACTGAGGCTCAGAGATATCAGGTGGCAGGTTCAGGGAACACTGAACCGAGATCAGATGGTCAAACAGGGCTCAGACCCTGAAGATGGGCAAACAAAACGCATCTGTACTTTTCTCTTTGTTCTCTATTGACAGACAGCAGAGCCGGGGCCTGGCCTAAGAAAGCAGAAGCGACAAACTTGAGCTGAGCCCGAAGACCAGCTGGAGACTGGGAATGCGGAGGAGGGGCTTCCGGGGGCAGGGGAGCACCCGCAGACATGTCCGCTCCCGTCGTCTGGGGAAGGGCCACATCACAGCCACATACGAACTGCTCTGTGACTACTCAGCGAACCCAGCCACGTCCACCTGTCTTTGTCCCTAACCTGCTTTCCAGCCAATAAAACTTAACTGCTTTGTTCTCAAACCTGGTCCCCAAAACCAACATAAACCCCTTCCCTATAAAAACAAGGAGGGGTATTTTCTTTCTCCAGCCTCCCTTGACCTGTCTTCATTCTCGGCTCCAAGCACTGATGCTGCAGTGACTCCTCTTTACTGCACGTCCAGCACAGGAACATAATTTGGGGGTTTGTAACAGCACAGCTATTAGGCCAAGGGTCAAACCTGACTCCAAGGGACCCCACAGCCGTGTGCAGCCTAGTCACCTCCAAGTTCAAGCACCACTTGGGTCTCTCCCGTGTGCCCCACCTGCCCTCAGCTCCCCAGGCAGCTGCTATCTCGAGGTCCCTGCAGCCCGGCAGCCACCTGCTGCCACACAGGCTCAACTCGCCGGGCGGAGCCAGTACCTTGTCTGTGACGAGGGGCAGCCGCATGCTCTCCAGCTGGCCTCCAGGTTGGCTGAAGACAAAGTGGTGCTCCTTGGACTTGGGGATGATGAAGTGGAGCTGGATTTCCTCTCCTAGCATGGAGTAAGAGAAGGCAAAGGCGTGCAGGGTGGACTCATAGAGCTGGGGTGCGAGGGGAAAGGACAGAGCTTGTCATCAGAGTCCGCGTCACTTCCCAGAAGAACCCAGGCCCAGCACAACCAGGACCTCCCAGAGGCCACCGCTACAGCTGGAGCACGAGGGACCCAGCAGCAGACACCCCTCCAGAGGTGAGCAGCCAGGCCCCGCTGCCGGCTTACACACCCGAGGCCACACCCTCTCAGCGGAGCCGGCTGGTTCTTAACTCTGATCAGTCTCACGAGGGATTCCCAGCCCTTCCAGACTCTGGATTTGCCCCAGAGGTGTGCTGCGTCGTGAACCAAAGCATCCCCACTGCACGTCTCCTTTTTCACTCAAATGTTCTCCTCTCAGAGGCATTATGTGTAATAGCACGTGAACAAAACAACAACAGCTGCGCTCACTGGTACCACGCTTGTCTGGCACCTTCCAACCCCTGTGTATTGCGGGTAACAATCCCAGGGAGTGGGTACTGCTGCCCCCCCCCACCATTATGGATGAGGAAGATGACGTTCCGGGGCGCACTCCCACCCCCAGGTCAAGCCTCTCCTCTCGTCACTTCCTCCAAAGAGCCCTTGACTCCAGTGCCCCTCGCCCTGTATCTGCGCCTGCTGCTCTCAGGCCTGACCTCCCAGCCCATGTCTGCCCGAGCCACACGTATGTCTCCTCCAGGCCTGAGGCCCCGGGCATCACGGGGCCTTCCCTGACCTGCCTCCTCTGGCTCACAGCCCCCCAGACTCACTGCTGGGGCGAGCTGTGTCTCCTGGAGTGGGCTCTGCCACAGAACCAGAGTCCAGAGTGGGGGGCGGGGGGGGGGCACAGATGCAGGAGAGGTGGAATCTGAGCCAGGAAGAGAGCAGAGAGGGACACAGCTGGAAAGGTTTCATAAAAAGAGGTCAGGGGAACCTTGAGACTTGAGGGGGTTGGGACAGAGTGAGCAGAAGCAAGGAGGGAGACGCCAGCAGGGAGCAGAGGCCTGGTTACAAGGCCCCTGAACAGGGGTCTCCAGACCTCCCGCCCCACCCCAGCACGGACCAGGGATCCCGCTCACTCCCTGCTGATGGTGAACAGAGGGAAAGCCTCAGGTCTTTGCATTTCAAAACCAAGCAAAGGTTTTCATATATATTTTTTCTGCCTTGAAAGAAAACTTTACCTCCAAGGATGAAGACGGTTAAGAGTTTCTCTACATCAAATGGGATTACTGATTATTTTTAATCCTTTAAAAAAAAAAATCACTCCTATATATTTTCTAACTTCATCTACTGTAAAATCGACACTTAAAAAAAGTGTGCTACTTCCACGGCCAAGCTCGGGTCAGGCAGACTCGGGAAAATGAAAGCTGAAGGGCAGGCTGGGTCAGCTGGGTGTTCTGAAGGATGAAACTGGACTTTCAGAGATGAATCCAGAAGTAAATAAACTCTTGCTTAAAAAACAAGTAAAAAAACCACATTTTTTAATGATGCACACCTGGGACTTACGTAATACTACAGTGAGATGTTACTTCAAAAAAAAAAAAATGAATGAGAAAAAGAGAATAAAGCCATATAAAATAAAGTGACTGTCTGCTGTTTCCCTCTGCAAAAGGGCGGGGCAGAGCCAGCCGGCGCTCTTGCGGCCGCAGCCGTTCTGGAAGTCAGGATGCCAGGGCCCCGGCTCTGTCTGCTGCCCCGTGTCCGAGCAGCTCCAGGCCTCCCGCTGCCCGCCTCCTCCCGTCAACCTTGCTTGGGTGTGAAGTGAAAAGAAAGGCTAAACCTGACATGCCACCTTCTGTTTCTGACCCTGGGCCCCATAATGACCCTGTGCAGGCCGCTGCGGGTGGCTGGGAGCCTGGACTAGCCAGGGCCCAGGACAGGAGCTCACGGGTTTACTCAGCATCTGGGCAAACACCAGTTTCCATCACATAAAAAGGTTGGGAAGCGCAGGCATGTAGCGGGTGCTCAGATTCCCCTGCTGACCACATCACTTCTATGCTTCCAGCATTGGCTTCCCGGGGGTCTGAGCATCGTCCCGCCCCTGGGCTGCGAGTCCAGAGCATGGGGACGGAGTACACTCCCCTCTGTGTCTGTGTCGGGCCCCTAGTAAGCAGCCGGGAAGTGTCAGCTCACGGGATTCCCTTTGAGAATTGCTGGGACAGCAAGAAAAGACACCTGCAGCCACCTAAGAAATGTGTCCTCCAGGGCCATCACTGGTCTGCAGTGTCAGCAATAAGCCCGTAAGTTACTGATGGGAAATGGGGGTGCAAGTAAGGCAGGAAGCAAAAGCTTCTAGAACTTTCCATCTCCCACTCCAGAATGAAAACATTAAGAGAACAGGGAAGCAACGGCATCAGCCAGGTGAAGCCCTTCAGAGAGCTGCCAGGAGCTGCCGGGAGCTGCTGGCACTGCGGCCACGCCCGGCACCTACCTGGTAGCGGGGGTGGAATCCCATGTACTGGTGGCACTGCTCGCAGTGGTGGTAGGTGTTATACGCCGCGTACTTGGACAGCCTCATCCGCGCCGTCTGGCGCCGCACGTACAGGTCCTTGGGCTTCCGGGACATCCCTCTGTCTGCACGAAAGGCCCGGCGTTAAGAGCAGCGGGAGGCAGGAGTTCTCGCTCCCTACCTCCTCAAGCCAGAGTGAACTGCACTGTGTGAGGGACCCCGGCTGGGCCACTCTCACCTGTCTGGCCCCGAGACTCAGCGGCCCAGGAGGGCAGCTCCGTGGGAAACTCACAGACGGCCGGCACGGGGCCTAGGGAATGTCTCCGAAGCACACGCTCCAGGGCGCACAACGTGACAGCGTGACTCGACCGCCACATGACACGAACACTGTCACGTGATGCAGGTGCACCTGTGTCAGATGTGGCAGGTGACTCAGCAGGAGGAAGGTCTGAGTCCCGAGACGCTGTGCAGACCCCTCGGGCAAGTGGTCTCCGCTGAGAAGAGAGAAGACCTAAAGCCGCTGGTCTGACATGAGGCTGGTGAGTATTTTGCTCTCACTAGCATCCACCAAACTTTTCTAGTTAGTGCTTCTAATCACGGCAACCACACGTGTCTGTTTGCTGAGAGTGGCCCCGAAATGCTGCAGGACCCCGTGACGTCAGTGGCCCCTTTAGGACGGGGCCAGGGGTCTGACCTCCCACACTCCATCACAGATCCTTCTAGTTCTTTCCCGACCACTGCCCCTGGCAGCCTCTGACCCTTCCTCCCACCCTTGCCTTAACTCGGAAGCCTCCCTGCACTTACTAATCTCCACCTGTTTGCAAGTACTTTGCCTTGTCTGACCATCTGTTATAACACGTACGTTGTTTTTTATGCGCTAGTAGCCAGAACCCTCAGAATATTCTGTCCCCGCAAACACCAGGAGGGTCTTCATTGCTGTCAGCACCCCTGGGCACCGCCTCTTCCTCCGTGGGCCCTGTCACGTGTACGACACTGTTACAACCCTCATGGACGGAGGCCACGTATGTGCTGACGCCATAATGACCCAGACTGACGGAAAATTGTGAAAGAACAACTTAAGTTATTGATTAAAAAGCAACCACTTGTTGACAAAGAACAGACGGAAAAGGCCAGGGCAGATAAAACCTGGCTGTGCAGAGACGCCGCCTAAATAAAGTTAACCAGCGGTCCTGATAAGATGCCTCTGAAGATGCTATAAACATAGGAATGGGTCTGAGACAATCTGAGATGCTTGTGGGTTCCATGCCCACGCCCCAGACGCCCCCTCCGAGACTCGGGGACAGCAGCTGGGGACTCCCACACGGAGAAGTGACCGCTCTCTCCCAGCACGTGGACAGCCACCAGGAGCCCCGGACCGCGTGCCGCGCTCCCGAGGGCCAGTCCCCACAGCTTTGCCAAGAGATTCACTACCTTCTCCCTTTTCCTGCCAATTAAATTGCAGACGTCTATCATTATAACATGGATTCCCCCCAATAAATTTCTACTGTGCTTCTATGCGTTTGACTTGAGTTGCCCGCGAGAGCTTTGGCGCTCTGGAGGGGCCCACCCAGGGGAGCCCTTGCTCGTGCAGAGTGGCCACGCCAGCTCCCCAGCACGGACGATTAGACTCCACACCCGTAGGACTCGGCTCTTCCCTCTAGGAGGCATTTCCCATGTATTTTAGAAGGCGAAGCAAGAGATTGCAAAGTCTGACCTTCGCTCTTTATGCCCTGCTGGTGTGAACAAATCAGGCTGGCGTCCTCGTACTTGGGGTCGTGAATGATATAGTCAAAAGGCATCTTCCTGAACAGCTCCACGTCCGGCCAGGGGTCGCCGAGCTGGAGGTAATGCCAATCTGTTTCTCCTCGGAGGTCTACAGGGCGTGGAGGCACAGAGAAGCGACAGGACATCACGCTTAGTTTAAAGGAAACACGGTCATTTATCCAGGCCGGGTGACCCACGGGGACACTCGGAAGCCAGGAGTTACGTCTAGTGTTAGCCACAAAGGACGCCCAGGCACCATTCTGTGACTGAGCAAAATGACTACCCAGGAAAGATGAAGGCACCCCACCCAGGCCCTGAGGGAGTCTGATCTTGGCCTGAAATTCCAGCTACACAGCAAGAGAAAGGCACCAAGTCACTTGAGAAACGGATGCCAGGCGAGGCCAGCCCCAATCTCCCTGGAGAACTCACCGCTGTTGATCTCCTCCTCGTCATAGACGTCCACCTCCGTCAGCCGGATGAGCATCCGGGACAGGATGCTGAGGAACTGCAGGTAGGCGCCCGTCTTCCCGATCTGGAAAGGATGAGACTAGTCAGCCTCGGCACCCCCGCCCCGTGCGGTGAGTGGGCTGCAGCCTGAGCCGGACGCCCTGGCACGCCCCAGCCTCCTCTCTGCACAGGGGGCGCCTAATCCACACGAGAAGCTGGTAGTGCAGTCGGGGGCCGGGATAGGCACCAGAGAGGAGTGGCAGGACGACAGGAACCTCGGCCCAGGGCCGCCTGGTCCTCCCTCACAGCGAGGGCACCTTGGTTCTGAAGCTGCTAGAAATCAGACTTGATCACAAGCTGAAGAACGTGCTTCAAAACTGATGGGCCAACAGAGACATCACTCTCCAGCCTTACATGCCGCAAGCTATTCCTTGTATCGATCGCTCTGTCCACGACAGAACTCACTGTGCCGGACACGGCTCGCCGGCACCGCGGCTCCCTCCCCGGGTCAGAAGGAGAAAGGAGGCTCCCGTCTGCCTGCAGCAGCGTCTCCTGCGCTCAGCCCAGCCCCGGCCGGCGCCCTCAGTGGGCTCATCTTAGTCACATGCGTTAAACACACTGTGTCGCCCCAGAGCCCTCCGATCACCCCCATTTCAGTAACAGTTACTCTTGCAACATGTGCCCAGGCTCTTAGCTCAGTGCCTAGTTCAAGTGAACAGTTAACAAACGCTGATGAGCGGGAATCACTGACTTTAAAAAAGGAAATAGGAAATATGACCAGGGCAAGCATCACTGAGAAGTATCTCTGGCTCAGAAAATAGACAACAGGTTAAAATCTGTCATCTCTAAAGAGCTCTGGGAGCAACAGGGGGAAAGTGCAACAGTCTAAAGGAAAAAACAAGACGGAAAACCACCGTGAAAGTTCTGATGACCGAACAAAATACACTCAACCTTGCTAATAAAATTATTTTTAATGGGGCCTCCCTGGTGGCGCAGGGGGTTGGGCACAGAACTATGAGGCAATCCACGGCCTTTGCAGGATGAGTTCCATCCCCAGCCCGCCAGGGGGCAACCCACATGGCGCAGCGGACCTCTCCTGCCTCGCCCGCTGCTCCCCTCAGCAGTGTACTTTGGTCAATCTGCCTGTTCTGCTCCCCACTCTGTCTCTGGTGAATCCTCTCACCCCCTACCCCCACGCCTCTGGCCTGTATCCCAGCTCTTGAATGGATAAATCTTTAAAAAAAAATACTATTTTTAATACCATTACTATTACTAATAAAACTTACTATTTTCACCTAGCTAGTGGGCAAACACTTTAAAGACTGACAGCATCTGCTTATCAGATGAGGGTGTGGAGAAAACAGAATCCCCTTTTAACACATATCTTATTTTCCCCTAGTTTTCAAAAATTACAAAAAGCAAAATATAGTCATTTAAAGGCTGAAAATAAATGCAGATTGATAATGAAGAAGAAGGTTCATAAACTCCACCCCCCTGGGAAGATTTAGTGGTTATCCTGCCAGGGATGATTTCACGCATCTCACACACAGAGACACAAATGCTGGTGTCCCCGCCCCTGGTGCCACGCTGAGCATCTGTCGTTCTGCCACTTGATGTTTTGCATTTGAACATGTCACGGCCCCACGTGGGCGCACAGGGTCTGCTCACGCCGTCTGGCTGGATCCCACCACTGGGACCAGAGGCATGTAGGTCATCTCCTGTGTTTTCACACTTGCCAACAAAGTGGGCGCGCACGCTGGCCTATCTTCATGGCTCCTGTTCGGGAATCCATTTTGGGGATAGAATCCCCAACAGGCTGAGTCAAAACGGAGCAGGTCTTGAATTGTGGGGGTGACAGTGTTGACAGTGATGCCAGCATTCAGCGGGTGCTCTCCATTAAGACGCGTTGCTGGGACACAGTGTGACTGTCACTCTCGGAGGACACCGAGGCAGGAAGGCTGGAGCTTGTACAGTGTCAGGGGACGTCAGAGTCAGAATTCACCTGCAGAACCATCTGGCAGCCTGCACTGTTCCAGCAAAGCCCCTTCCCGGGACCCCATACCAACCTCCAGCTCACCCCTGGGGGAACACCTGCAGATTCCTAACCTTAACAAGTAGAGCTTTGTGGTTCGGGAGAGGTCAAGAGCCAGGGGAGGGCTGGGCTGGGGAAGCAGCCCCCCAAACTCCCAGGGCAGAACTGAGGGCTGGCGTCTCACATTCAGCAAAAGCAAAGCGCACACACTGGCCAGGAGGCCCAAAGGAAAGAATACTGGATGAGCAGAATTGTCACGTGCAGGGGTGAGACAGGGAAGCACCCCTGCCCTCCGAGTCACAAAAGGAGAAGACTGAGGTCAGAGGGCAGACAGCATCTGGCTGTGGGCAGCAGGCGCCCCTGGACCTCCACCCACCCACACAGCAGGCCCACAGAGAGTCCCCCACGGGGTTGGCCAAACATGAATCGGGATGTGGTCAGCCCCACTCCAGCCCTGTGGACACAGGGACCAGGAGTCCCTGGCCCAGGCGCACCCACCTGCGGGGGGCCACTGAGCAGCAGCCGGCGCGGGTGGAAGCTGTCCACGCGGCCCTCGGCGCGGTTGCCGTAGTCCATGTGGCTGGGCCGCGGCACCGTCCACTGGCGGTAGTACAGCGACTGCTCCGTGGACGTCATGGTCTTGCTGAGCAGGGGCCGGAAGGAGCTGGCCCACATGACCGAGTGGGAGGGCAGCAGCGAGGCGGCCTTGGGCAGGCCACTGCTGTCCGTGGACGTGACCATGTCGTACACCAGCTTGGGCAGGAAGACGACGGGCGGCTGCCGGCAGGCTTTGGTCAGGGCGCACTGCGAGGCCTGCAGGACCAGTGGGCCAGCAGCGGGCACCGTGGGTGAGGAGGACGAGCAGGCAGAGAGCTGGGAGGACGACGAGGGCACCGATGCCTGGATGCTCCTCTGGCCGGACCGGGGGCCACAGTCAGGCTGGGGGGCCAGCCCGGGGCTGATGATGGACGGGGCCCCCCGACTTGCTCGGAGCCTCTGGCGCTCCCCAGGGGCCCTGCCTTCCTCTGAAGGGCCACAGGCCACTGGCGACCTGGCCTGCTCCCCCGGAAGGGGTCCCCCTGGCTGAGTTGAAGGCTCCCTGCCGAGCGCTGAGCCTGGAGAGAAAGAAAACCTGTGAGAGACGCCGCCCAGGGGGACCCGGCGCAAAACCTGCCCGTCCCCTGCCCGGGTTCTGCAGCGCAGTGTCAGGGTCAACGCCCAAGTTAACCGTGGCTGTTTATGGAAAGCGCCCAGCCCAGGGCGACCCACGGGACACTCAGACATCGGGAGTCATGTCCGGTCCTTCCAGCCCACAAAGGATGCCAGGCGCTGTCTGTGACTGAGCAGAGTGGCACCAGGAGAGATAAAGGCAGCCCAAGGCCCTGGTTGACCCTGACCATTCCTGCGACTCCACCCCCAAGCAGGTAAAGCACAAGGTCTCTCTTGAAATAGGTAGAAATGAGTGACCTCTTCATCCTCCAAATCTCAAACAACCCCAGGCCCACCGGGCGGCCCCCGGGGACACTCACTGGACGCCTTCGAGGAGAGGGACGAGGACGCCGAGTCTCGGGAGCCGGGCCTCTCCGTCTTCACGGGGCTTCTCTTCTCCGAGGCGGAGCCTGGTTTAGAACACCCTGATGAGCGCGCGGGGCATCCGCCCAGCTCCGCCAGCTGACAAGCTGCATTCGCACCTGTCACCCCTCCCCGGCCAGCAGCCTTCGCCCACCTGGCAGGGGTCCACCTGTGCCAGGCCTGGGGACGCAGGGGACAAGGCCCCAGGGCCTCAGTGACAAGATGGAGCACGAGGAGGGCCAGGGGCCCGCAGGCCGAGCTCCCACCCAGCCTGGGGAGGGAGGGCAGGAAGCTTCCTGGTAGAGGAGCCGCCCGCCTTGGGTCCAGGAAGGACGTGGGGATTCCTGGTGAAGCACGGGGAGAGGAGGCCGCAGGCAGCAGGTGGAGGGCGGGGGTCATCCGCGTGGCCAGGAGGGGACATGGGCAGGGCAGAGCAGGGAGCGTGAGAAGTCGAGTGTGCTCCAGAGCATGGGGTGCCACACGGGGGCCGGAGAGTGCGAAGGGGGCAGGAGGCGACACGGGGCCGTCAGGCCCGGGAGTGCGGACTTGTCCCGGGCGACAGGCAGTCACCGTCACGGTCCCGGGGGACAGAAGCAGCCCGCGTCTGCAGCGCGGGACTTCCCACTTCAGGGAGGTGACCCAGGCCACCCCGCGAGCAGGCGGAGGAGGGAGAGCGGGGTCTGGTCTCTGGCCCACACCCGTCTGTTCCACCACTTCCCCCCCACGACTCTGCGTTTTGCATCAACAGGTTTTCTTCTCCTCACTGTCGACGAGGCCCAAAGCCCTGCTCTGCTATGATATCAGGCCCCACTGGGCACACTGTGGGGTGTTAAGAGTCTGCACACGCCTCCACGGGACACCTGCTCTTCAGTCCTCCCACCGAGAGGACGTCAGAGAGGACGTCTGCCCCCAATGCGCAGCAATTCCACCAAAGATCCAGTGGAGCATGAACTCGATCAGCATCCTGCAGTTCTTTATGAATTCTAGAACGAGGAGGAACCCAGCTGGGTGTCCAGCTTCTCACACCACCCATAAAGGGAGGAAAAGCAAAATCCGAATTCATCAAGGGATTCGCCACTCCCTGCCAAGCTGTGTCCGCACAGCTCTCACCCGACCCGCAGACAGGCACGGGCCCCCAGGGCTGACAGCAGGTGGCGGCGCGGACCCCACACGAGGGAGCCTGGGAGGCATCCAGAGGCCCCAGGTGTGCCGGGCGAGGCCCACCTTCCGTCCCCGGCTCCTCGTCCTCGTTGTCCGTGCTGCTCAGCCTGTCCGCGTCGCTCTCCAGGGCCTCGTTCCGGGAACCCTTGTCCACGGGCACCTCGCTGCTCACGAAGTAAGCGGCCAGGCCCAGCTCCTGCTCCAAGGCCGTTCGCACCAGGCAGGAGGAGTTTATCAGACGCAGGTCACAGTAGCGCAGAGACCTGGGGGGACAGGGCGTGACGTGGGGGGACGCCTCCCGCGAGGCGGTACCCCAGCACGCGCCGAGGAGACACGGGCACCCAGCACCGCTGCCTCCCGGGCTCCTGCGGACGGCAAGAGTCCAGAGCCCGGCACGGAAGGGTTCTCACTCCACGTCAGCAAAGGCCACGCCAGGAAAGACACGCAAGGGCAGCAGCAGATGGCCTGCTGCCCTCCACGGGATGAGGTGAACCTCTGAGAGCCGCTGGCCACCATCCATCCAAGCGCCTGCCTTCTGGAGGCCCGGGGAGCGTCTGCTTGTCTGGGCAGTGGCCGGAGACCCCAGGAGACACCAAGCGGGCTGACGTCCGCGAGGCTGGGACGGCTCCGTGGCTAGAAGACCGGGTCCTCCCCAGCGGCGTCGACCGCCTCCCCCCCGCCCCCCAGATCAACACCTCCAGAGCCAGCGGAGACCCGGCAGCCCAGACACCAGCGGAGGAGCAGCTCTGACTCCCGAGATGACGCGACCCTTTCCCGGCAGAGCAGACACGCCTCACACGCACAGCCCAGCCCCGGGTGCCCGTCGGAAGGAGCACGAGCTGCCCAGGAAAAGCCGTCACGGCCACAGGCTGGAACGCCAGCACGAAGGGCGGGTCTAAGGCTGTGGCTATCGATTGCTCCAACTACCCTCGAGTGGGGGGGCGGGCAGCAAACCGCAACCTGGTCTCAGGCTCCTCGAAGAGCCCCCCCCCAGAGGTAGAGCCCCCCACGCCCCGCCCCCTCACCTTGGCAAGGATTCCCCGTGCGGGTCCATCCCACTGAAGATGAGGATGCAAGGCAGGCCCTCCAGCTCCAGGTAAGTCTGAGGTCTCCACTCCGCATCCTCGATTTTTTGCCACATCTGCAGGTAATTAAAGAGTCTCAGAGCCCTGACGTGCGGTCTGGGGGAGCCCGTGCTCCCACCGGGCCAAAGCCCTTGCAACGCGGCCTTCGATTACAAGGGAAAGTTCTTTATTCCACAGATCAGCAAATAAGCACGTCCTCTGCTCCACCGGTCTCCCGGCCACGGGGAACACAGCCTGACACGTATGGGCCATTCCAGAACTACCGGCCGATGGACTGATTCCGTGGGACAAAGTCTATTCTCAACGGCGTCTAATGTTTTCCTGACCTCGCCATGGTGTGCTGTGCCCTTTCAACTTCATAATTCCGCCTCGTCAAGGCACTTTCTTTCATAGCTCCTCCTCGTTCAGGGAGTCTTTCTTTCATAACTCCCACTTGCTTATACTTGAAATGTTCAATATTAGTGAGACACAACTGCGGGCCAGGCCCTTGCTAGTTTGGGGGGCTGATCTGCAGGGCTGGCCTCTGCTCGCCACAGCCTGGGGAAGAGCCAGGTGACAGGCAGGGAACGTTGAACCTGCCTGGGGAGGGGGACAACGGCAGGCATGGGGAGAAGCCCGGGTGCGGGGGGTGCAGCTTCCAGAAGGAGGAGCAGAGTTGAGTTCTGCAGAAGCATTAGCTAAGCGGAGGAGGGAGAGAGACTCACAGGACAAAGGGGAAGGATGTCACCGCCAGAAGTTCGTAATCAGAAGACAGGGTATTTGGGGGAGCAGCCAGGAAGCGTGTTGGTACGTGGTACCACTGCACTGAAGGATGCTCTAGCATCCTCTAGAGTGGGGCTCTAGCCAGGTGCGGGAGGATGGCAAGGTCAGGGAACATGCAGCCGCCCTGGCTCCCCAGACCCCACACCCACCCTCCCCAGGTACCCGTCACCCTCCTGCCCTGCACTGCCCCCACCTTGAGCTGCTTCACAAAGTGCTTCCCCACGGTGATGCCCGAGCTGGGGTTGCCCAGGATGATCTCAAAGTGCTCCTCCAGGGCCAGCCGTGCCCGCACGTGGGCCAGCCGCTCGTAGGCCACGGCCGCCAGGGGCGAGCAGGGCACCCGCAGTAGGACCATGAGCCCGTGGCCACAGGGGCACTGCTTCGGGGAGTTGATGAGGTTCTGGGTGATCTCCAGCGTCTCCACCGACGTGTAGTTCTTCATCTGTGACAGGCCGCTCACGGCCATCATGGCGGCCGCGTAGTGCTGCACCAGGACGAAGGTCCTGATCACTGCACTGTGCAGCCGGGGGAACCTGCAAGACAGACGTATGGCCACCGTGACCCCAGCTGCTTCAGGAGAACCTGCAAGACAGACAGACCACCGTGACCCCGCCCTGCTGGGAATTGTGAGGACAGAGACTGCTGTGACCTGCGCCCAAGGCCCCTGGCGCGCTCTCAGGAGAGGGGGGTCTCTTCCAAAAAACAGAACCCAGGGTGTCCACCACCTCAGCACAGGCCGCTCCCAGATGACAAACAGCGTGCCTCCTTTTGAAGCTGCTGGTTTGGAACCTGAAATGGAGCCATCCTTTGTCAGGCAGCTGGGAACAAAAGTGGAGGCTCACTGCCCCAGGGAGGCCCCCCGTCAACAGCAGGTCATCAGCAGTTTAGGTTTAGGGGAGTCAAAAGTTATATGTAGATTCTTGACTGTGTGGGGGTCAGTGTCCCTGCTGCATTCGCAACATGGAGATACTAACAGCAATAGACTCAGAGAGGTGGAAAGCACTAAACAAGATAATGAAGCCAGGCCTCAGCACAAAGAACAGCGCAAAATGAGCCCTCGACAGAGGACACAGAGGAGGTAAACACTGACACTAGCTATGATTGTCGCTATTGTTTCCTTTAAATCCTTTGGCGTCTTCCCTCCTTCTTTCTTGCCCTCCCTTGAGTATCAAACACACAATCCCACATGCCGGCATATTTCTGTCCATTCACACCCTTAAATTTTTCTGGAACAGCACAACAGAAATAATCACTGACCCAAAATTCAGGATGAAAAACCAATCTTTGATGGAGGGATGGAGTCGCCTCAGGAGGGAGGGAGGTGAACTCCTTCCTGGAACCCCCTGGATGCATGCATGCATCAACCTGCACTTGACCTTGAAGCATTTTAGTAACTTGGAAGAGAGACGCGTACCTTTTTCCCAGTGCAGTGACCATGGCCTCAAAGGAACTGTCGTATCTGAGCAGGGGCAGGCTGTGTCCCGAAAGTGTGGACTCAATGAATTCGGACAGCCCAAAGTACTTCTTGTTCTCAGGATATAAGTCCACTCCCTAAAACAGAGAAGTACACGGGTCATCTAAACTTTGCATTTGTGGGGCCTGAGAGGCTCCTAAGCTGGATCCACTGGATCTCGATCGTGTGACTCTGCAGGTGATATTTTATGAGTTTATTCCTTCTGCAGACCCAGTACACAGAGAGTTCCACACTAAGGCTGGCAGATCCTCATCGGTCAAGACTTTGCCTTTCATTTGACCCTAGTGTCTTTGCCAAGAAGAAAACCAAGGCCTCCCTGGTGGCACAAGGGGTTAAGCACAGTACTGTGACGCTGTCCGTAGCCTCTGCAGCACGAGTTCGATCCCTGGCCAGGGAGCTACCCACATGGTGCAGCAGACGGTCTTCTCCTGCCTCACCCACTGCTCCCCTCAGCAGTGTATTTCAGTCAGTCTGCCTGTCCTGTTCCCCGCTCTGTCTCTGGTGAGTCCTCTCACCCCTGTACCTCTGGCCTGTACCCCAGCTCTTATATGCATAAATACATAAATCTTTTTTTTAAAAAAAGAAGAAAACAAGCCTTATCATTTTTTAAACATACAGCTTTCTTTGTTGAGATTGCTTCTTCACAAAATTTGAAGTTGTTTCCAGGAAGAGGCAAATCCATCATCTTGTACTAAGATGCTTTTAAAATCAGCAGGAAAAATGCACTTACCTAACCAATTCACTCACATGACAGAAAAGCCATCCCAAACCAACATCAGAGTTTCTCAAACTTCAGAACAGAGCAAAATTGGGGAGGTTGTTAAAAACACAAAGGTGTGAGCTTTATCCTCAGATAGCACAGTGATTGGTGGGAGGGCAAAGTATCGGTGGGCTGGGTCACACCCAGGTTCCCCACTTCACAGCTTCATGGCCTCAGGCAAGTGGCTCGACCCTCCTCTGCCTCATTTTCCTCATTTGCACATCAGAAATCATCCTGGCACCTGCCTCTTGTATTAGTTCATATGGAACTAATGCTAAAGCACTTCAAACTAAAGCACTTCAAAAAGAGCCTGCCTGGCTCACAGTGAGTGTCACCCAAACACTGTCACAGGTGCCCAAGTGGCTGGATTGAAGACAGGCAGCAGCATCTTTCAAAGCTCCCCAGGTGACTCTGAGATCCTCCGAAGAAGTCTGGACTTTGATGCTTACTTATCACTTGCGTAATTAGCTAGAATGCAACCACCCAGAATTCTCAGTTCACCAGAACTGTGTGTCTTCTATCTTGATGAGCAAACTAAAATCAAACTCAGAGGTTTTCGGAGGGAGATTTTGAACCCTGTTGTTTAAAGACGCAGACATAGGAAAGCCAGGAATGATTCTAAGGCTTCTGGACCAAACGTGACATGGTCTCAGCTGGGGAAGCCAACAACACAGTTCAGCAAGGTTTTAAAGACCAAGACCTCTAACCCCAGCTTGTGTCGAAGATCCAAGGAGCTGGAACTGGCTTGGGCCCTGGCTCTGCTAGATTCTGCCAAACACAACCCCCCACCCAAGCTCAAGGGCCTTTCCACGCCAGCGCGGCACCCGCTTGCACTCACGTTGCTGTAGGAGGCAGGCCAGTGGATCTCGTTGTAGGGGCTGATGAGCGTGTGTTGGGTCTGCAGCGCGTAGGGGAAGGAGGTCACATGAAGAGTGACGATGTTGGGGGCCTCCTTCACCTCCCTGCAGTTGAACAATCTGTCTACCAATCCCACAGACGGGTCGCTTTGGGAATAGAGATTATGAACAGCACTACTGGTGGGGGGAAAGGGAGAAGACACAGTGAGTGGGGTTAGTGACAGTGCCCTGTCATCGTCCAGGGATGAGTAATCAGCCCCAATGGTGCCGACAAGGTAAGCACGTGGCTCCACCGTGACGGTGACAGTCGGGACCCCCGGACTCCTGACTTGTCACAGGTTTGGCTTGTGACAATGTCAGCTCCCCACGGCCCAGCCCCACTAACCTCACAAGATCCCAGTGGGCGTGGTCATGGATCAGGACAAAGAGTGTGTGCGGGTTCTGGAAGGAATTTTGCAGAAAGGACTTAAACTTGGTCTGTGCCTCGGTGTCCAGCTTCAGAACATACTGTTCCACCCTCTGCTTGGTCAGGTGCTCCTTTTCCAGGCCCAGCTCCAGCAAAACCCCTGTGACACAGGATGAGTACATCAGCACCTCTTCACCCCGCAGACATTCCTGAGCATCTTCTGGTGGCAGGTGCAGTGTGAGGCCCCAAGGCCACCTGGGCACAGGCACCTTGGCAGCAGAGAGGCAGCCCCCCCCCACCGCCCCGTTCCCATAAACACTGTCTACAGCTGTCAGTGCAGGAGCTGGGCCCAGAGGCAGGCTGCTCCACCAGATGGGTGAGCTACCCCCTCTCCCAGGGGCTTTGGAAGCAGCTGACCCCTGGGGTGGGGTGACTGAGGGGAAAGCAAAGTCACCTCCCACCCTGGACACCACTGGCCGAGGTGGCACCACACTCCAGGGCAAATCCTAGGAGTGAGACAATGTCTTGTGCATTTCACAGTCAATCCCTGATGGCACAGGACGTGTAAGCTGAGGTCAGATACCACGGCACGAGCAGGCTGCTGTCCGGAGCAGGGCAGGGTGAAAATTCAAAGCATGATTCTGCTTTTTCAGATTCCAAAACCCAGGCCCAGTCCTACCTCCAAGCATCAGGTGTTTCAGGAGCCACAGAGTGGGGTGCTACCGCTTGCCCCATCTACCTTCAAGGCAGAGATGCTAAAACCCCATCTGAACTATAGTGGACCCGAGCACCGGCCCCCGCAGCCCCCAGGCTGGTACCTGAGTGCCAGACGTGGAAGAGGGTCTGCTGGTAGGTCACCTCTGAGGGAGGGATGCAAATCAGGAAGTCGACCTTCTCGAAGGAGCCCAAGTCCAGGTTCTGGGTGCTGGAGTCGGCGATGGAGCACACGTGGGAGAGGAGCTTCTGGGCCACAGCCAGCTGGAAGGGCCGCAGACAGCGGGACTCCAGGCTGGAACCTGGAACCAGAGTGCCCGTGACCTTGGTGAGGACCCGTGACCTTGGTGAGGTGCTGAAGGGCAGAAGCCACCGCCCTGGACCTCTGCTGGGGAAACAAACAGGGACCCCCAGACTAACTGCGCCAGGGGCCAGGGACCCAAGGAAGGATGACATGTCCAGTGCTGCGCTGGGCGCCCCCCACACCCAGCTCCACACGCCTTTCCTAGTGTAATGCAAGTGCATGAACCAAGGAGCTGTGGTCGACTCTGCTGGACAAGCACAGTGTCCCAGGGAAGCAGCTGCTGAGACTGGGCTTTGGAGGAAGCTGCGAGTTCTCCGTTAGGGAAGAGCATCACAGCCTTCTGGAACTCAGTGCGAGCAAGATATTTCAACAACACGTTGAGGCTGGACAGCACAGAGAAGTGCACCCGCGCAGGAAGAGCTTGCAAATGTGTACTCAGGAAGAAATGTGATGTTATCATTAAGGACTAAAATTAAAGTGAGAAATGAGGTCTACTTGGGGGAGCAGGGGAGACCCAAATTCTGCAGGTGCCTCTGGCGTGGCCTCCTCGGGAGATGCTGCCTCACAGCCCAGACCCCGGCCACCAGCAGCTGCACCTCTCCCGTGGCCAGCAGGGCCCCCCAGCTCCGTCTCACCACTCACTTGTGCATGCAGGTGCCCCACCGACATCCAGGGGTGCTGACTTGGCGACAGAGGAAGCAGTAAGTGAGGAAGAAATGTGGCCTTGATTTTCCTGATGAAATTTGTCCAGCAAAATGTCAATGTCCCCCTCTGGCCAAAACAGAGAGAATGACAGTTGGGTTTTCCATCCCAGTGGAGTCCAGCAAACATCTAGGGGACACCTGCGTATCAGGCACTGTCCCAGTTTGGGGGTGGAGTTATCAGGGAGGCCACAGCTGGGGAAGGGAGGCAGATGCGCTGGAGTAAGGCACACCCGGACCAAGAGGTGTCGCCACAGAAGAAGGACGGGCCCAACCCATTCTGGAGGGGAGGAGCCCCAACCCGAGAGGGGTTGGGGCGAGGGGGAGGGTCCGGAGGGACAAGAAGCCAGGTGGAGCACAGAGCACAAGGGCACAGGAGGAGGGAGGTGGACAGGGCAGAGAGGTAGACAGGAACAGGCACTAGGCTGTGTGAGCCCCCAAAAGACAGAACCTACAAAGCTCCCACCCAGGTAACCGACAGCCAGAGCAGAAGACGGCCAGAGGCCACGCTGACGGGCTGGAAACACCACGGCCAGAGCCACACCCGGCACCCCACGCCGGGCACCCCACGCCGGGCGCCCCAGGGCTGGGCAGAGATGCCGTGTCTTGCGACAGGCCTACCTGGGCACAGGGTGCTGAAAAAGGCCCCCAGCGAGTCCACCTTCCCTGTAACCAGCTCATAATTGACTTCCTTCTGGTACTCCGCTGGGGTGAGGAGGCTCTCAGACAGAATCCGGGCTTGGTATTTCCCTGGAAAACAAAGGACAACTTTCACGAGATCCCTGCGTGTAGAATCGGCAGGTGAGCCCCAGGACGGGGCCCAGTCCGTGCCTCTCCAGCCCGAGTCCAGCAGCAGGCCTGGCCAGGAGCAGGTGTCCAGGCCACGAGGAGTAGAGGAAACCGGGAAAGGCTTCGGGCGTGACTCGCCCTCCTGGCCGGGCAAGCAGCCGCGAGCCCTAGTCCTCCCGGGCCGGTTCCTCCTGAGGAGCCCGCCAGCAGCAGCTACGTCATGGGCGCTGTAAGGATTAACAGGGCGCCTCTCACAAAGTGCCCGGCCCAGCGCCTGAGGGCAGGGTGCAGGGTGTCACCGAGTCAATGGACCATCCAACCAGCATCAAGAACTGTAAGGACCTCCCCGTCCAGCCTCCCCCCTGCTCCAGCCACCCCCAGGGATTCCCTCGCTCTTCTCAAACACGGAGCCCCTGCACATTCCCTGCCCTGCTCTCTCGCCATCCTCAGGTCCCTCCTCCCTGGACTGTCCAGCCCCATCACGCCCGAGCATCACCTCAACAGCCTGCCCTGCTCCACTGCCCACCCCCTCGGCCCCACGCCTGCCCCCGCGTCAGAACACGGCTGGCGCACGCCAGCCCCGGCACTCCAGCCCTCCCCACCCCACGCCAGGGCGTGCCCTCCTGGCCATCGCCTCCCCCGCATCACCCTTGCCCGTCTGTTGTCTCTTCCCAACATGAGAAACAAGCCCCCGTCCCCGGCTTCCACGGAGCAAGACCTGACCCCACGTCCTCTCCCGTCACCTTCCCATTTCCCTGTCCCCTTTCAGGCAGCACTTGCCAAAGTCGCGTCTACACTCGCTGCTTCACTAATTCTCTCGAGCCAGCCATGGTGCCCGGCTGTCGGCGCCCGGAGCCGTCCTGACACAGGGGGCCGGTTGCCGGCCCTCGGGCCGCTCAAACATCAGAGCCCCATCCCACCCCCCGACAGGCACCCCCGGTCTCCTGCACTGACGTGATCTCCCTCCCCGAGCCCCGGTTACTAGTCCTCAGGCCTCCTCTTGCACCCTGCACCTCCAGGAAGTTATGGGGTGCACCCCTTGGCTGCTGAACCCCCCAGATGCTGACTCCTCTCTTACTCTGCAGACGCAGCCCCTGCCCTGCCCTGCCCTGCGGGTGTTCACGTCCCACCGCTGCCCTCCAGGGCCCGGGGCCAGGCCAGCCGCTCACAGAGCACTCGGCTCCAGCACCGTCTCCCGCCCGCCCCGCGCACACGGCTACGGGAAGGTTAACACCAAACTGCACAAGCCCAGTCCTCGGGGTGGCCGCGCGGCCCCTGCCCTTCTCGGCAGCGCCCAGGCCCGCCGCAAGCCCTGAGGGCGCCACTTCAAAGCACGCCCGCTCGGGCCACTCCCTCCACCAGCCTCACCACCCCCAGTCCCGGCCTTTGCCCGGTCACCCTGCCGTCCAGCATGTCCCACGTGCCATCACAGCCTTGGGGCGCTCTGCCGCCGGCCCCCAAGTCGGCATCATTTGCTTCCTCTTCGCGACCAGGTCCAGCTCTCGGGAGAGCGTCCCCGACCCCCTTCTCCAACCCGCCCACTGCGAGGCCAGAGGCAGGCGCCAGGAAACCAGGGACTCCCCTTGGTCCCCGGCCCCGGGAGCACACACTGAGGCTCCTGTCCTGTTTCTAGAATTACTTTGCTCATCGCCTCTGAACTCACGCGGCACGAGGGGTCGCTGTTTCCTATCTCCAGAGGAGCTGAAGAGACGGAGGCCGGAGCCCCTGCAACAACACACCATGGGCTCGGGCAGCGGCTCTGCGGGTCCTGCCCGACTTGGCCGCCCCCATCTCTGTCCTGCGTTCCCAGAGGCAGGCCTGACCGGAGCCCACAACCCAGGGACGTGTGTTAGCGCTCGCACAGGCTACTGCAGCCACGACCCAGCGCCCTTAGAGGCAGAGAGGGCAGGTGCCAAGGCGGGCGGCGAGGCCAGCGAGGCCTCACTCCAGCTGGACCGGGCGCACCACCGCCCGCCGCCCGCCGCCCGCTCACCCGTCACGGCGATGCAGGAGTCGATGGCCGCGTTCCGGCAGGCACAGATGATCACCACGTAGTTGGTCTTGGCCAGCTTGCCCTCGACGAGCAGCCGGAACATCTCGGAGAGGCCCTCGGCCAGGGAGTAGGTGCACTCGATGATGTACACGCTGTCGTTGCAGGAGCTGGCGGCCAGGCCGGCCAGCCAGGGCAGCTGCGCGGAGGTGACAGGCGCCACGGCGCCGGGCGCGGGCGGGAAGGGCTGCGGCGGCGCCTGCTGGTACTGCCGGATCTCGGTCAGGTGCGACTCGCGCCAGGAGCGCAGGAAGATCCGCTCCAGGTCCTCCATCAGCGGCACCTGGTCAGCCGCTGGCGGCGGCGACAAGCAGACGGGCATCAGCGGCCGCCCCCACGCACCCCCTCGGTCCCACTGCGGTCCGCACAAAAACACTGGCCCTTGTGGGGCAAGGCCGGCAGCTCGTTCAGAGATAATGTCTAAGCTATTCATGGGAACTCGGCAGTGCAGACGGCGGCAGGGAAGTAAAGAGGGGGAGGCAGGAGCCACACGGGCCTGCAGGCGAGCCCACTTCTCAGGAAGGAGCGCAAGTGCAGGGTGACTGGGGTGCGGGGGAGGCGGGTAGGGGATGCTGGCCTGTCTCTGGGGCCCGGAGCAAGTGTGGATGCTTGCGCTGGGAAGCCCCGGAGGACTCAGAGCCCGGAGGAGAGGCAGAGGGTGCCCTGGGGCAGGGCAGGCCGCGGCAGAGCGTGACCAGCTGGACTCAGGATGGAGCAGGCCTTCCAGGACGGGTGGGTGGGGTCGGGAGGGAGCGAGAGCCGGCAGCTCCTGTCCAGCCCAGCAGCACCGTCCAGGCACCGCCCCTTCCCTGGCTGCTCATCTGCTCCTCCTCCATCCCAGAGGGTCTCCAGTCCATAATCACCTCCAGGGGACCTCCCAGCCCCCAGTTTTAACACAGGTGACGGAGCTGAGCTCCCCCCATCTACACCTAGACCTTCCCTGTGCTCACATCAGCACAGCCCTCAGCTCAGTCCTGCGGGCATCTCCACCTCAAAATTGCTCAGAACTTTTGCTCACCCTTCCACTCCACTGCCAACCTGCTTGCCACAGCCCTGGCCTCCCTCAGGCACCTGCATCCTCCCTCCAAGTACACCCCACATCTCTCTCCTGAGCCGCACCCACCTCTCGCTGGGATGGCCCCACCCCACCCCACAGCGCAGCCAAAGGGGTCTCCTGAACGAAATCGCCCGCTGCTGTGGACAGACCCGTGCCCCACCCACCCCCGTGTGGAACCCCCAGCGTGACGGTACTTGGAGATGGCCCTTTAAAGAGGGGACGGTGGCTCCATGAGGCCTGAGGGTAGGCCCTTGAGCCTGTGTCCACCTGAGAGGAGGTGGGCCCAGAGTGCTCTCACTCCGCAGCCTCCCAGGACCGGGCCCTGCTCCCTCAGCCCCACACCCTCACTGTCCACCCCCAAGGCCCACCCGAAGCTCAAGGCTGTTTCTTCGCACCACCCAGGTCTCTGCTCAAATGTCACATCTCATGACCCCAACTGTGACCTGTGCCAGCCCCACGGCCCATGCGCCACCTGCTGACTTCCTGCCTGCTCCTTCCTTCCCCTCCTTCTGGCAGACAAAGACCTGGAGGTAGAGTATTTTACAGCCTGCTGAGCCCTGCCAAGCCTGGAGGGGTCATTTGGAATGATCTGGAAGGTGCTGATGTGCCGTAAGCCCTTCCAGGCCATTGGGCCTCGACCAGGCCTAGGAAGCCATCAGCACCCCCAGTCCACTCCCACCAGCCAGGGCTGTGTGCCTGCAGGCTCAGGGGTGGTGGCCACCTGGCTGGCGAGGCTGTCACCTCTCCCACCCACGTGTCACGGTTTTTCTCCCCGCAGGAGGGACGAGGCTCACCCAGCTGGACGAGATAGTAGACGGTCAGCAGGAGCTGCATCTCCTCGGAGATGGGCTGGATGGTGGCGGCCCCGCACTGCTCGTAGGCCCTGGAGATGGACTGAGAGTTCTGGTAGCAGGTGTACAGGAGGGGGCTCACCACCACGTCGCTGAGGTTCCCGCAGAGGTAAGGGAAGTTCCCGTGGCCTGCGGCAGGGGACAGCAGCTTGCTCAGCCTTGGCACAACAGCTGCCCCCACACGGCTCAGAACGCCAGGTTGCTGCAGTTGCAGGCAACCTGCATGGGGTACCTCTCCCTCCCGAGGGCTCCCAGGGGCTAGTGCGCCTGCGTGGCCAGGTGAGGACAGGACAAACCCCCAGCCAGGCTCCGGCCACGAGGGCGGGTGGGGCTGGCTCCTGATCCTCATGCTGAGCACCAGGCACAGCAGTTCAGCGAGGCAGAGCGAGCGAGTGGACGAAAGAACAGGTGAACCGGCCAATGATGTCACGGCATAGGAGCCCCTCGCTTGGGCCGTGGCGGAGGTTGTGATGACCTCTGCCAGCCCCAGAGCGGCTTGGGGGCTGACCTGCCACGGTCTGCCCAGCTTCTTCACAGCCCTGGGTTCCCCAGGAGGACAACCTCGGCCTTGGCCCGGGATGCCGTCTCCCTGGATGCCGTCTGCCTGTTCCATGGGCCGCACTTGCCTTTAAAGATCACTGGCTTGGCCTTGCAGATCTGCAGCAAGTTGTCAGGAACAGACACTGGTTCTCCAGAGGCCACAACGGGAAAGGCGACCGAGGCTGGTCCCACCAAGCCGACCTGCGGCACGCAGGACACACCTGCACTCTCTGGCGACACGCGTGGAGGACATGTCAGACGAGGCATCCAGCTCCGGCAGACCGGACCTCAGGTCGGCCACAAATCTGCTGCAACTTGATCTTTACCCTCCACCCCCGCGGGAGCACCCAGTCCTGGAGCCAGGGGCTTCTAGGGTTGAAAGCATCTTTCAGAGCCCTTGGTCCCATCTTCCCTTCAACAGTCCAGCCACTGACAGGCCCCCCTTAAATCCCTCTGGAAGGACGGATGCGCCACTGTGAGGGACCCGGCTATGTTCAGCAGCAGATCATTCTAACAAGCAAGAAGAGATCCTTTCCTTAGACCAGTCAGGTCTGCTCCCCAGGACGTCCTCATCAACACGTACGCACGCACAGATGCAGGTGCACACACGCAGCAGGTGCACACACAAGAACACAAACACACGTGTGCACCCGGCACCACCATCCCAGTTCTGGATTTGGGGTGAGGCTGTTGCCACTTACCATACTTAGCTCTGGTGCCACCACCCTGGGGGTAGCCCCCCTCCGCAGCTGATGGAGATTCTGGAGACCACCCCTTGTGGCGCTTTTTGGGCGGCCCGGAGCTGGGTAAGATACCTAGACGACATTCAGACACGGATCAGGCCCTCGTCAGGAGGAGCTTCCATGAAACGCGTCCTGAAGGAACCATCCTGCCAATTTTTGTAAATGCTTCACCCCAAAGCCGTGCAAGTGTCTGCACTTTCTATCACTGAGCCTTACTTAGTTCCTTCAACTTGAAAATGTAACAATAAATTCTACTCTGAAGGTGGTTTAATCAGAAGGAAAAAGAAAAGACATGAAGCTTGGAGCAGTACCCAGCACAGAGCTTGGGCCCAAAAATGGCAGCCCCCAAGACCACCACCACGGTCTCTGCACCTTCCAGTGTGTTAGTGTGCGTTTCTCCAGACTCAAAGCAGGTGGATTCCACCCACCAGCACCGTGTGACCAGCTGGGGGCAGCACCGGTCCACGGTACCTGCTCCCGCCCAGCCCTGAAAGCTGATTTCAGGCTAGAAGGATCCAGGGGAACAGAAGCTGGTGGTGCCCGCTGCTGCAGAGTCACCCCCTTCCATGCTAGACCCCAGTGTGTGTGTGACTCACCCTACAGCCATGGATTATTCAATATATCGAGCATTAATTGCCAGGTTTTTTTACCAATCAGACACAAAGATCCCCTACTTTAGGACGACACGTTACTCTCAGCTGGGAAACTTTCAAAACTCCCCATGTCTGCACGCAACTTCACCCCCAGTAAGCGGGACCCTGGTGCCCCCAGCTCAGGGGTCTCTGCTCCAAGCAGGCAGAGTGGGAGCCCGGAGCACTGGCAGGGTCAGCGCCTCACTGGGCTCACTTGCTGAATCAGGTCTCTGGAAAGGGGAGTAAGAAACCGGGTAGTTCAAGTGCAAGGCAGCTCGAGAGTGACCACTTCACAGTCTACAAAGGAACTGAAAATGGTTTCCACCTCTTGAGACTGAAGCCAAGTACAGTTAAGTGAGTAGAAAGTCAAGACGGAAAGTTTATTTGCCCCGAGGACTCCTGGCCCCATGCAAGCAGCTCGGCTCTGTTGGGGAGCCCCCGCGGAGCCCCCAGAGCCTGAGGCCAGTGCTCTGACAGCGTGTTAAATGATCAGAGGGGCAGGACGGGAGTGGACCGGGGCACCAGGGAAAGCGAGTCCTCACTGTCTGAAGTGGATTCTGAGCTCATGGACTCTCCCAAGATGGTGCCCCAGGGTGCCAATGTGCAGCTATTCCTGTGTCCTCTGGTGGGGGCAGGACGGGAGCTTGGAGCGAGAAGATTCCTCACCGGTCAGCCCATTCACGGCAGGGAATCCCCAGCCCGTGACCACCGGACAGCAGGCACGGCTCTGCAAGCCCAGCAGGGGGCAGCATGGCTCTGCTGGAAACCAGGGAGCCAGGGACCCGCTCCCCACAACTCCCACGCCCTACCCCACCTCTCCTTATGCTCGATATGGATTCAGAAGTGGAATTCTTACTCGCAATCAAGGGTTTGCTTAGCCAGATTTGTCCAAGACCCCCTGACTCAGGAGACAGAGTCAGGGATTCATTTCTGTCGGCTTCTCATAACCACATTTCCCTCATTTATCCGAAGCTGAGAGCCCTCCTGCTGCGCAGCCAGAGTGTGGGCCCAGCTCCCTCTGCCTCTGGGCATCAGAGCCCCATGGGGCCCCACCCACCTAGCCCCGCACCCCTCCCACGCCACTGGGGCCCAGGACTCTGGCCCACCCCCCAGAAGACAGCCCCAGGACGGCGCTACCTAATGCCGAAGGCCGAGGCACGGCGGACAGGCTGTTTCTTGCCAGCTGCTGGTGCTTCGGGGAGTCTTTGCCGTTGAAAACAGCTGGAGCCATGGCCGCGCTCAGCGAGGGGTGGTCAGAGGCCGGGCCTGGGGGCAGAGGGTGGGAGAGAGGGCAGGGTCAGTGCATGCAGCGAGGCCGGCGGGCAGCGGCTCCTTGTCTTCTGTTGGGGCAGACCGGCTTTCCACTGAGAGTCCCAACGGGCGAGACTCCCGGTGATTCTGCCCAAGGAGAAGGCCTCCCCCCACGCACGCAAGTGCACACATGCAGGTAAAGGGACATGAGAGGCTAGTGAGGGCCCTGGACGCCAGGAGTGCCCCTGAAGCTGTCCTGTCTTCCATCTACCTCCTCCTGCACCCCCCGAGTTCAGGTGTGCATCACACACGCTCGGATCACAGGTAGGCGGGCAGTGCCTGGTCCAGGCTGCTCACAGGCCAGGGGCTGTGGGACTTTCTGGGGTGGGTGTGGCCACGCACTGTCGAAGTCCCCCATACCAGCCAGAATGGTCTGGAAGGCACCGCAGAGTTGGGAATAGTACAAAACATTTCTTGCAGGTGAGGGGATGAGCGTGGGCCTGAAGCCAGACGTCCTATGTCTGAACCCAGTTCTGCTGCTCACTCGCTGTGTGACCTTACCTAACCTACTTAACCTGTCTGGGCCTCACTGTTCTCACCCACAGAAGCAGGGGCCAGAGAGAACCACTGTGGGGGGTGATACAGGTGCATAGAAGCTAAAAGCACAGGATAATGCCTGGCAGGGAGGGGCTGTCACCACATTTCATTCTGACAGTCACCCCGACAACCAGACAGGTGTCCTCCAGCTTTACTGACAAGGAAGCACATTCAACGAGTTGCCCCCAAACACAGGAGAAAGAAGCAGCCCTGGACCCTGCAGCCAGGTGTCCTGATGACGACGGTGGTGACTGCGCAGGGGCCACATGTAACTATCCCAGGTGGCCCAGAGCAGTGAGGCAGTGAGGACAAGGGCAGGCCCCACTCAGAAAGGGAGAACATGCGCAAGGAGGCACAGCCTCTGCACATGGGTGTGATGTGCCAGCTGCAGCCCCTCTGGGCAGGGGGAATAAAACCCCAGCCTTCCAGAGTTCTGGAGAAAGAAGGCTGCTCTGGATTTTGAGGACAGCTGCCAAGCTTAGCACGCGCAGGACGCTAACCACAGGCTCCGGCAATACCTTCTGTCGCTTCCCAACTCCACCATACAGTGGGAGATCTCAGATAAGGACCAGGGGTCTCGACTTCACAGTGGTGAAGCAGGGTAAAGAGGCCTGCTGGTGGGGTGGTGCCAGCATCTGATGGGGCATGCGCAGAGCCAGGCACACAGAGCACATGATAAATGGTGCCCCTGCCTGCCCTCCGGGCTTTCTGTTCCAATACAGACCTTGCGCCCCTCACAGAGCAAGTTCCATGCTGCGAAATGGGGTACGGTGGAGTCCTAGCCCCCATCTCATCCACAAGGGATCACATTATGGAGTAAACACAATACGAAAGCAGAACGTCTTTCCAAATTAAAAACACAGCATTTCCACGGAGTTGAAAATGACAAACACTGTGAAATGCAGAGGTAACACAGACGAAGAAAACACACAAAGCACGCCCCCTGCTAGTCTTGCAGAAGATCTGGCAGCAGTCGCGCCCCACCAGTGACACGCCCCGCCCATGACTTAGTACCTCCAGAGCTTCCCCACCACCTCACCTGCCTGCTGGGCTCCCATTGCGATGCTGGGATTGGTCCCAGGAGTGGGCTCACTGGAGAAGGCAGCCAGAGGCCCTGGGCTCTCCAGTGGCGGGAAGGGAGAGCTGGGACAGGTGCTGGCGGAGGTCTGCCGGCTTCTGAACTCTACCGGGACAAAATGCACGCGTGAAAACCAGTATGTGACCGTCAACCACAGTAACTCGATTTCTCAGACTGGAGCTTGTCCTACGGGAGAGCTAGATGCATAGAAAACCATGATGGTGCCAGTGCCATCCAGGCCTTGCTTCTGTAGACAGCGGGCACGTGGGGGGCAGAAGGGGTGTGAGAACCCCCGAGGGCCTTATGCCAGGAATGGGGCATTGGTCAGCCTGATGGACAGCTCTGTCAGGAGAGGGAGCATTCTGAAATGAGCATTTGGGAAAAAGAGAAAACAGATTACACAAATGAGTCATTCAGTGATTCCAAGGGAAGAACCGAGTATTGCTCAAAGGTCTGAGCTGCGAGGTACTTGCTCACAGCAGGAGACAATGACTCAGCTAACCCCACAGGTGAAAAGCCACTGCCTCCCAGGGCGTAGGAAATGACCGGCGCGCGGTAGGGGCTCCAGCAGTATTTGTGAAAAGACAAGGAGAGAAGGAAAAGAGTGATAGCACTGGTGGTGTAGGGAGCACCTAGAGCCAGCCTCTCCTGAAGTCCTTCCTTCTCCTCACAGAACCCACCGGGGCGTTCCAGGTGACCCGAAGTGGACCAACTCAAATAACTGAGGGACCAAAGGCTGGTTCCCCTGGTCATCGTGCTGACGACCTCCTAGGACATGTCCCTCCACCACCAGTCAAGCCCCAAGGGGGTGGAGGGCAGCCCTGTTCTAAAGGCGCTGCCCATCACTCCTTCAAGGACTGGTCTCTCTGCTGGTCTCTCTGTTCCTGGTTAACAGGGCTGAGGGCGGGTAGGGAGGGCACTGCTCAAGCCAGGCTTCCTTCAAGGCAGGACGTCTCGGCCTTGGCACGGCCCACCTCACCCATCCAGGGCCGCCCGCGTCCCGCGGGGCAAGTAGCCACATCGCCAGCCTCCGTCCACTGGTCGGCACTGCTCAGCCGGGACCAGGAGAACTGGCTCCTGACAGGGCCCTTGTTCCCAAATACTTGCCCCAGGAAAGGGAGGGTGGGGGGATCTAGCGCTGAAAAGCGATGCAATCAGGGCGAGGGTGACCTCACAAACTAGCAATACACAGAGGTCCTTCCATTCCATGGGGCTGACCTTCTGCAGAGTGGTGTCCCCCCCCAGAGTGGATGGCACCCTCCCCGCTTGGAAGACACCCACTTCACATCCCCCCATACACATAACACCCCTGCACGGACACAGCCCTTCACACACACCCCCTTCTCTCTCTCACATGCACACGGGAGCCGAGCCGCTCACCAGAGCCCTTCCAACAGATGAGGGGCCCTTGCATGAGCGCCCCCTGGGCGTTGCGGACCAGGTAACACTTGAGGTGCTTCTGCTTCTTGGGCTGGGCGGTCAGCTTCAGGTTGATGTGGTTGGAAAACTCGGTGAAGTAGCAGAAGCCCTTCTTCCCGCAGCCCACGCAGTTCCCGGAGAAACCTGGAGGGCGAGCGCGCACGTGAGCCCTGGCCCGGCTGCCGTCCTGCTCCCGGGCGGGCCTGGGATTGGTCCTCTTAAGCAAGTAGCAGTAAGTAAACGAAGGAGGCGATTTTCAGCCTCCGGTCTCTCCCCTGGCATCTCCCGTGACACAGTGAGCCCACGTTAGCCTCTCCACAGAGTGAGAGCAGGAGGAAGGCGGGACCCAACCCTGCGTCATCGGGATTTAGCATAATTCTTGGCATAAAAGTCATTCACTAAACATTGTTGCCCATAAAAAATAAATCATACATAAATATCTGCATCTATATCTATAGATCACGCACAGCTGATGAAAACACTGACTGGGGCCCGTGCCACCCAGCGGAGAACCTCCAGCGTCCCGCACCGGCTCAGGGGTCACGATGACCTTGGCTGGAGTGGAAGGACAAAGACTTAGTCACGGAAGATTAACCTGCCTCAGGGCACATTTTAAAACCTTCACTGGAGAGAACTTTACAGGCCAGAACTGTCGGGTTTAACTGTCTACACGGCCCGGTTCCTGCAGTGACTGGGTGCTCCCCCACTGGTCTGGGCTGCCAGCAACAGTATCGTGGACACAGGGCCTGTGGGTGCCCTCTGAGGAGCCCAAAACTCCACCCTGGAGCCAAGCAAGTGGCTGCGCTGAAAGAATTCGGGAATGCGCGTGGGTTCGGTGGGTTCTGTGGGTTCTGCGACACGCGGTGGAGGCACCCCGCTGGATGGGGCAGTCTTGGGCCGGGTCTCACCGCGCGGTCACAGTGGCCTTCCAGGGCTGACAGGGAATCCCCCCGTTGAGCTCCAGCAGCTGACAAAACCACCACTCGTGAGTCACTGAAATCCAGACCGTGTGCTCGAAAAGCCCGTTACAAACCGGAAAGCCTGTTCAGACTGTACTTGTTACAACTGTGGGTCGCAGAAGAGACGACTCGCTCCCCCACCTGCTACCGTCCACGGTCAAACGCCCACCTCAAGCAGGTCCTTCCTCAGACCTTGGCTGCCCCCCCAGCCCCACCCAGCGCAAGGCCCCTGGGCTGGGGTGACCCTGAAGCCGGGACTAAGCTACTTTATCATATTTTCTAGCCGACAAATTTACAACAGTCGTTTCAACTCCGGCCACGAGGGCCGAGCGGCTATGCGTGCAAGCGCTGCATTCAAACAGAATATCCCTGAGCCTCTGGCTAGTGCTCAGAAAATAACAGCAGCGAGTAGAGGGTCGAAGCATCTCCAGAGGAGACACCGCATGGCAGAAACCGCTGGGTCTGCTTTAAGTAAAATCAACATTTCTTAAAAGATCTTAGAAATCAGAACAAATAAGGGAGCCAGTTTGCTTAAGCTTCCAGAAGTCTATTCTCTGCACCCAGCAAATAGATAAGGCACCCAAGACGGTCCCGCACAGAGATCAGAGCATGACCTGCCGTTCAGTCGCGCAGACACGGCACTCGGCCGAGCTGACAACACAGCAGCCGGGCCAGCGGGACTGTCTCCGGGAGGCGAAGAACCGGGAGGCTAAGTGATAATTCAACACAGAAAACGATGCATTCGATTCCAGCAAGAAGCGCACTTCCTAGGGAGTCTAGCCCACAGGCCCCAAAGCCGCTGGCCTCGGCCCGTACACCTCATTCTGCTGGGCCAGCCCCACCACACCCACCACCTTCCCGCCTCTGCCACCCCCTGGTGAAGGCCCCACCACATCCCACCCATCGCGAGATGCCCAGCCCAAACGCCGGCTCCCGTGCCCCAAAGGGCTGGTCTTGCTCTTCCCCAAGGCTCTACTGCTCTTTCTTTCGGCCAGACAGCCCTCGCAACGTCTTCCTTTGGGCCAGTTTTTGAAATGGGCATCTCCCCAGGTCTCCCGAGGGCCGGGTTTCTGTGTGGCCAGTGCAGGTGCAGGTGGAGTGAGTACCGACGTGCGGTGGCAGGCGGCACCTGGCCACCGCGGGAGCCAGCAGGAGCAGAAGGGAGGAAGCCGGGTGGGTGGACGCACCCGCCCCGCGGGGCCCTGCACACGCGCAGAAGCGCTGGCCTGGTGGTTCACTTGTTCCTGCTCCAACCGGGCCCGAGAGAAGCGCAGCCCCAGGGCCACCTGAGAAGAAATCTCTGAGGAGCCTTCCGAGTCGGGCCCCGGGTATGGAAGGATAAGTGAGCGTGGCGCAGGGTTACAAGACCTAGGATGCTGGGGGACTCTGCCTGGGCTGGTGCGGCCACCTCTTTCCAGAAACGGGCCTTTGTCCCATGAGAAACGGGGGCTGTGCAGCCAGGGGGAATCTCTGAGCACGAGGCTGGAGGTGGCTGCAGGCTGGGAGGTGACTCCTCACTGTAGATGGGGTGCCCTCCCCTCAGGGGGTGCTGGGCGCCCACACCGCTAGTGTTTCCTTCTAAGCCACAGTCCAAGGAGGCTTCTCCGCTCCGGCCACCACGGTCCCAAGCAGCCTCCCACGGCCCTGGCGCCTTCCTGGGAGTGGGAGGCTTCTGCCCTCACTCGAGTGTGCTCGCAGGGCGCAGCCGGCCGTCCCCAGTCAGGGGCCCCCCACGAGAAAGAGCAGACCTTTGAGCAGCCAGGCTGAGCACTCAGAGCACACTTGCTGGGCCCGAAGCCAGGGGCTCCGAGGCAGACATAAAAATATATGGCCCCTGGCTGTGAGGAGGAGGCACAGCCACAAATAATGAACTCGGTGGAGGCAGCACTACGTGTCCGCCAGACGTCCCAGTGGCCTTCACCGGGCAGAGCTTCAGACTCCTGCAGCCGAGCAGTCGGTCCAGAGGGACCATCCCTTCCCTAGAGGGGAGCCCCGGCCTGGGAGAGGAAGCACCTCTCTCTGGGATGGGGCCCAGGCAAGGGGCCAGGAGGCAGGTCCTGAGCCGGCTGGGAGAGGCGGGCTTTAAATCAGAACTGGGAGATGGACCACATGGCCTGTGGCGCCGCCTCGGAGGACCAGCAGGTGCATCCCCAGAGCTGAGAGCCCCTCCTCCTCCCTGAAATCCCCGCTGAAATCCTCCTGGGGATAAAAGGACGCTCCATGGGTCTTTGTAGCACCTGAGAGGAAATCCCGGTCTGGGTCCCGGCCCCCAGGACGGAGAATGGAAGAGAAGCCAGGCCACCGCGGCCAGGAGGGGCGACTTTCCCTTTCCACCTCGTGGATCACGTCACGCTCATCACAGTCGGGGTGACGGCAAATGTGGCCTGATGACAACTGAGAAAAACGGGGCCACCGCCCCGGGCCCTGGCACTTGGGCCAATTCCCACGAACACGTGGCGTGGATGGGCCGTGTCCGCAGGGCCGCACCCACACGTGAGCCGGGCCCCGGGCCCATCTCAGCCTGGGGTTAGACCTTCAGGAAAGCGTGACCGTGAGTGGGCACTGGCAGCTGGTGGGGTCCCCTCTGAGAAACACACCCCCACTAGCTGAAGCACCTCGGTTCTCATCTCTCAGCTTTCCCAGAGAAAATCCCACTGTGGCTCCTACGTCACTAACACCAGACTCCCTAAGAAGTCAATTCTGGGGGGCAGAGGCGCCGAAGTCGTCAGTCTCCCCAGAGGCCCCCCAGCCCCACCTCACAGGTCACCAGGCAGCCCCCACCCGGCGCCTGGAGGGCCCAGGGCTGGCTTATCCGGCTTATCCTGTGCAGCCCGTGGGGTTAATGGCAGGAAACCTAAACAGCGCTAAGTGTGCAAGCTGAGAGCATAAAGTTATTTTGAAAGAAGAAAGCAGTGGTTGTTACCAACCACCCTGCTCATCCACCTCCCATGGCTTTTGGCGAGCAATTAACAGACGCCACTTCCTCCGGGCTCCCCGCCTGAGGACGGGCCGTTACCACCGAGTGAATGAGCTGAAGACGCTCGTCTCCACATTTCAAGACACAGACCCCCCTTGATTTACTACCCTCCAATTCCTTTACAGCCACAAAGTGGTGGAATTCAGGCCAAGCACCCCCTCCCCAGCCTCCCCCACCACCAGATCAAACGCCAGCCAGGTCACCAGGCACAGCCTGCCCGGCCCATTGCTCCCCCTTGGCCTGGAGGCCAGTCGGACCCCGGCAGAGTGAGTTTTCTGGGGTTATTTCTGTCTTCACGCACGAGTCACGTAAGCCGGGTGCTGCTAGGGAGAATGACTAGGACTTTTGCTCTCCCTGGCCAGGGTGGCAGAGCTACTGTCCTGGGGGCACTCACCTGCTGTGCTCAGCAGCCCTGTCCCCTCCCTTCTTCCTCCCCGGGGCCTCCTCCCAGGTCCCGCTGCACCCTCCGGTCCTGCACACAGAGCACCCTGCATGAAACGTGCTGGATAAATACCCACCGAAGCGTGTTTACCCACCCGGCTTTAGGGCCCGATCCAGCACAAAACCGGGGTGCATGTGCATGAGAAGCCTACAGGAGAAATGGCGGGGTTTTAACCTAGAAGTGTTCCCATCCAAGCTCACAAACAAACTAGTTTCTACAATGCAGTTTGTTCTGTGTCTGAAGGAGATAAGATGATCACGAACCACCAAGCCTCCTGCCAGCCAGTTCTCCAGAGACACCAGGCTGAGAAGTGGACAGAACATGAGGGAAAGCCCCTCCCCCTCGACAGAGGAGGCCGGCAAGGCCCAGGGCCCCTCCGCACCTTGGGCATCTGCACGGCACCTGCACGGCATGGCTGAGCACAGGCCTGGCAGACAGCAGGAACTCAGCACATGTCTGAGGAATGGGAACCCGGCGTGACCTCACGGCTGCAGTGCCGTCGGGGATGTCACGGGCCAGGAGTCGTTTGAAAGATCAGAGCCACGCCTGCCCTTGGCTGACCTTGACCAGGACCCGGGACCCCGAATTAAAGGGTGGAGTTTGGAGCTGGGGAGACTGACAGTGAGCACTGGCTGGGTTCTGCCACTTGTGCTCTTTTAGGCAAGTTCACCCCCAAGTGAGGATAAGAAATGATGTCACCTTTGAGAGGGAGCCGGGAGGGAAGGTGCCCGACCCAACCGCACACAAAGCCAGCCCGGCGAGGCTTCCGCCTGCAAGCGTGAAGCCACGGTGCTCCAATCCAGCCTCTGCTGAGGACATCGGGGCCTGTCCCCGGGCCTCCCTCACCCCCCGCCCGCGTGCAGACCGAGGACACGGAGACGGAGGACGCGGAGCCGCTCACCCAGAAGAGCGTTGTGGCCGCTGTCGTCTGGCAGGAAGCGCTGGTCCACGGCGCACACCAGCAGGTGGTCGGGCAGGCTGGGCGACTTGGCCCCCACCAGGAGGAAGCCGGCCGGCACCTCGAGGGGCTCGCTGGAAATGGAGGCCAGACGCAGGTCCTTGCCTGCCTGGCAGAAGCCTGGAGGAACAGGCAGGGTCAGCGTGCCCAGGGGACGCTCTGGATCCTGTCAGGAACAGCCCTCACTCTGGATGGGGCCGGCCCTGCGTCACTGATTAGGAATGGGAAAGAATTTTCTGTGACCGACACACATCACCTACGTTGTTGTTGACCTTTTAAAAAAAAATCTCCATTTTATTCTACCTAAAATTTAAAGATTATCTTTTATTGTTCTCCTACCACCACCCCTTAGTCCATAGGCCCGCCCCCCCTCCCCTCCTCTTAGAAGCCCCCTCCCGGTACGAGTGCCGCTAGCTCCGTCAGTATTTTACTCTGTGGACCTGTCCTGCAGGTCACTGGCCGCCCAGCCGCTCTCCAGCCCCAGGTGCTCACAGCAGGATGGGGCAGCTCGACTGAGCTAACGGTTCCCTAGATAACATCCATCACCTTCCCCGCAGCACTGGACTGAGGACGGGAACCATCACTCCCACCGATCAGCTCGGCGGTAAACACCCAGGGCTGCAGATCCGGGTGGGGAAAAGGCATTCTCATTTCAAACCACCCAGGCAGAGACGTGAACCCTGGATCCCCACTGGGGTCTGGCCTGGCCGTCCAGGGAGCAGGCCCGGCAGTGAGCCCGGAGAGGCCCAGCAGGTCCCAGGGGATTGCCTAGCACCTGAGGCACAGCCCAGGCCAGGGGAGCAGGACAGGCCCAGGATGCACCTGGCGCGCCCAGCCGCACCTCTGGGCAGTCTCGGGGCCCCCTTGGTGGGAAACACTCACCGTCAGTGGTGCAGCACCCCTCAGGCGGGGGGTGCATCTGGTAGGGGGTGGCAGGGCCGTTGGGCTCCAGGGCACCTTCTCCCTCTTCCTCCTCTTCCTCATTGTCCACTCGGCTCCCGCCTGGACCCAGGGGAGAGGGGTGAAGATTAGGGCCAGCCTGTCCCCGCCCTCGGGGGACCTCAGGGCCTCTCCTTCAGCATCTCAGTCTCAGGCCCCTCATCACTGAGCAGCAGCTACTCACCCCTCCCTCGGCCCTGACCAGCACGCCCAAGCCCGCGTCGGGGCCCTTCTCTGCTACAGGGAAAGACAGCCCCTCAGGTCACAGACCCACACTCGAGTCTGGCCCCCCCGGGCCATTCGGGTGCCCTTCCTTCCTGCCCCCCACATGTCCGCATATGGCCAGGCTTCAAGATGGATACATATCGGGCCTCCCTGGTGGTGCGAGGGGTTAAGCACCGCACTATGAAGCAATCCACAGCCTCTGCAGCATGAGTTCGATCCCCAGCCAGGGAGCTACCCACAGGGCGCAGCAGACCTCTCCTGCCTCACCCGCTGCTCCCCTCAGCAGTGGATTTCAGTCAATCTGCCTGCCTGTTCTGTTCCCTGCTCTGTCTCTGGTGAATCCTTTCACACACACCACCCCCCTGCATCTCTGGCCTGTACCCCAGCTCTTGTATGCATAAATAAATAAATAAATCTTTTTTTTTTTTTAAAGAAAAGGATATATATCACTGGTTGATGAGACTGAGCCCGAAGCCTGCACGTAGTAGGGGCGTGAAAAATACTTGTGCTGGGCACCCTGGCGAAAGCGACCATCTTCTCAGTGAGGAAGCTGAGGCCTGGCGAGACCCCACAGCCCACAGCTCCCCAGCCACGTGCTTGGGCCCCGCCCCGGGCTCCTGGTGACGGCGGGTACCAAGTGGGGTCCTCGCCACCCAGAACTGCCGGGTTCAGGAAGCGAGCTGTGAACCCCGATGTTGTTATTTATCCTGAGGGAAGAATGGATGCAGACATTGCCGAAAACACAGACCACCCAAACTTCCCCGAGGTCCCCACACAGCCATTCCAGAGCAGACCAGACAAGTCATGACTTTAGGGAACTTGTCTTACATGAAAGAGCATTTGGGGATTAACAGCAAAGGTGAAACTGGTCAAAAGAGCCAGGAATTGGCCACAGAAAGCCCATCATCACTCCCTGTCACTGCCAAGAAATAAGCTTCTGGCCTCAGCCCCCGAATCAGCTCCTCAGCCCCTCTCACCTGTGTAGCTGTCCCGGGCACCCAGCGAAATGTCTCAGACAGAAGAGGGGCAGGAAATACCTGCCCGAGGGATCTGAGCACGCCCAGGCCCAGCTCATTTACGGAGAAAGGGGTGAGGAGGGGTCCTGCAAAGGAACTTTCTAGGTGGTTGAAGCATCATCCTTCTAACCTCTTTCAACTTGGATATCTGGGAGAAAAACCTGTCTCCCTGGTCATCTGATCAATAGCGTGCACGTCTACTCATGGCTCAAGGTCATTATCGGCAGCCCCAAGGACACGGCGCCAGGACACAGGTGCTTCCCACTCACTGTCTGTCTCCTGCCTTAGGGCTGGTTTCTTGTTGCTCTCTCTCCTGCTCTCTTCTTCAGCTCACCCCACCCCATCCATCGAGTGGGTTAAGTGATTTAGTGATTTTAAGTTAATGATACAATCATGTGCAGAGATGGGGCTGGGACCGAGGACTCTGCCACTGGGAGGTCACAGTCAGGTTACCTAACCTCTCTACACGTCAGATCCTACATTGCAAGACAAGGTCGTTCCAGAAGGTCACTCTGAGCTGTGACAGCCTGGGAAGGAAGGCCCCGCAGAGTGGCGCAGAATATTCCAGATGTCATGTAATCAGGGCAGGGCACCGGGAACGCAGCTCCCAGGGGCCCCCACTGTAAAGGCACTAGGGGACAACAGAGAGGAGAAGATGAACATTCCAAGCCAGCCCAGGCCTCTGACCTTGGGAAGGTCACAGCAGGAAGTGAAAGGAGAATTCCTAGAGGACACAGAGGTGGCTGGAAACTGTAAAAAGATTACCAGGAAGAACACAAGGGGATGGGGGATAAAGGGAGATTCTCCTTCCGCCTCTTCCTTCCTCCATTAAATGCATGGGGGGTGGGGGGCGGTCAGGAGAAGTTGGAGAGGCTGGCCCAGGCCCAGGGCACAGCACAGGTCCTAGTGAAGGTCCAACTTGCCCTTTGACCCCCATGGAGTGGATGGCACGAAGGCCTTGCAGGAAATCAAGACGGGTCTCAGGGCCAGAGCTGCAGAGGCCCCGAGGGGGTGGTAGAGACCCCAACTGTCAGAGAGAAAAGGGAGAGAAAGTCAGAGAATTGGGGCCTGGGGGGGGGGCACAGGAATGTCTGCCCATTATTCTGCTAAGTGGAAAAGAACAGGAATTCAGACTCTGAAGGGATGAAAGAGGAGGGTCTTAAGCCTCAGAATGCAAAGAAAGAGCTCAAAATCCAGTCGCTAAGAAAGCAGGGTAAAGGTCAAAAGGTCTACCCCAGACATTCCAGCCCCTTTGATGGGCTCTGGGAGCAGAAGGAGACTTCCTGGCTCTGAGCAAAGGAAACCAGACAGCCCCCAAGGTCTCGGCGGGACGGAGGGGTCGTGAATGGTGTCAGACAAAACCAGCCAGGCTGGCGGGGGAGGGGGGGAGTGGGCGGGGTCTTCATTCTGGATCACAGGCGCCCACGTCCACAGCAGCCTCACCCCACGGCAGATGCTGGCCTTAGTGTTGACACTGGATGTATCTGCTCCCGGGAGAAGAAACTGGGAGAGGTTTTAAGGGGTGGCATTACAGGAATAGACCTGCATCTTGCTTAGTTAATAAAAACTTAGCTCAAAATTCTGGGCTGGTCTTATTATGCCTTTTGTTGGTCTTCCTTGGAAGAAGAAAAAAAATAAAATGTGTGCCCTGCTAGAAGGGCTGGTCAGACCTCTAACCCTGAAGAGCTGCCGAGGGGGGTCATGCACCTGCACCCCGATCCTAAAAACTCTCTTTAATGTCAGTGTCCAAGGAAGGATGGCATAAGTGTCCCTGACAGACAGACAGACAAAACAAGGTGCAGCCTGGACAAGGCGTCTGCCCCGAGTTTTATGATGCAGAGACAGGGGCTGGAGCCCAGTGCTGAGTTTTGGTGACATTCTGCAGACGTAAAAGCCACTCCCTTTCCACCAATCCCCCTCACTAGAAAAAGAAAACCTCAGAGGATGTCCCTATTCTCTTTGCTGGACAACAGGGGAGACCCAAGAGAACGCCTACTCTGGGTTTCATATCAACACCAGAGGAATGGTAAGTATAAGCCTCAAGGCTGCCTGGCAGATGGGGAACTCCCCAGGAGGTAGAATGTTCTAGATGGAGCCTCCCAATTAGAAGCCTGGAGAGGGACTGTAAGGAGCTCTCAGTAGAAGGGCAGGCGTTGGGAGCCCAAGCTGGCGCCTCTCCCTCAGGTGAGCACCCACCTGGGCACCTGGGCGCCTCTGTCCAGCACACCCCAGCCTCTGCCCAGTGCCTCCAGAGCAGCCAAATCACAGGCCTCGGCCTCCCGCTCCGTCCTCCGAAACCGCAGGCTCCCATCTTCCCAAGCCCAGGGATTCTGTTGTATTTCACCCCAGTGGGGGTGAAAACACTTCGTAGATTTTAAGGTCCTGCTCAAAAATACTAAATTATTTATCCTGATTACTGTTCTTCACTAGCCCTTAGCAACAAAGGCTTTGCATACTGTAACAAGTTAAGGATAACCATTTAATAGCAACTGACAAAGCCTTTCAGCCAAAAGCACAGCCTGTGAGTCACTCGGGTCGCTTCCAGCTTCCCAACGGCACCGCAGCGCTGACTGCACCGGCCGAATCCTTCGCCTCTGAATCCAGCCAAGGATCCTCCGATCTGGTGGTTTTAGGCCCTGAGCTATTGCCATTTGCAAGGTTAACTGAGTCAGAACACTTTCCAGAGTGACACAGATTAATTCAGTGAAAACATCTATGGGGTCGTGGACACGCCCCCGGCTAGGAAAAGGGACCATCAACTAGACCTGGTGCCCCAACCACGTGTCTGTGCAGCCCTCGCAGCCCACCAGCCGCACACCCTCCGAACATGCGCGCACACGCGCACACACGCCCGCGGCCACCCCAACCAGGCCCCGGCGCACTGCACTCTCGCATTTCCTGGTGGGTTCATCAGTGCCGGAAGCTGTGCCCCCACTTCACATCACCCTGCTAAGCCAAGTCTGCTGTAAGTTCAAGACACAAACTGGCATGAGCTTCCATAACAGGCCTCCCTGGTGGCCTCGGGGTTAAGTCTCAGCGCTGTCAAAACGACAGCCTGAGTCTGATCCCGGCCAGGGAGCTATCCACAGGGCGCAGCAGACCTCTCCTGTCCCCCGCTGCTCCCCTCAGCAGTGTGTTTCAGCCAGTCTGACTGTTCTGCTCCCCACTGTCTCTGCTGAATTGTCTCACCCCACACCCCCCCACCCACACACACCTCTGGCCTGCCCCCCAGCTCTTCCATGCTAAATAAAGGATTCATTTAAAAAAAAAAAAAAGAAGAACTTCCATAACAGGGACCGTCCCCGGGACAGGTGGCCGGGAGGTTACTTTTGCCATGAAAAGTCACAGCTGTGGGCCTCCCTGGTGGTGCAGCAGTTGAGCGCTGGGCTGTGAAGCTGCCCGCAGCCTCTGCAGCGCCGGTTCGATCCCCGGCTGCTCCCCGGCCACCGGAGGAGGGTCCCACATGGCGCGCAGACCTCTCCTGCCGCCCGCTGCTCCCCTCAGCAGTGTGCTTCGTCACTCTGCCTGTTGTGTTCCCTGCTCTGACTCTGGTGAATTCTCTCACCCTCCCGCGCTTCTGACTGTACCCAGTGCTTGTGTAAATAAATAAATAAATAGATCTTTAAAAAAAAAAAAAAAAAGAAAAGAAAAGCCACAGCTATAAAAAACCCAGGCGTTGAACAATCAAACGATACAACTATTTCATTCTCTAGATAACTAAGCAAAGAGCCCCGACGCCTGGGGGTGTGTGTGGAGCCCTGGCACAGGCTCCTCCAGCTTGCTGTGGGTTTTTTAAGTTTCTGGAGGACTCGCACCGGCTGTCACAGGGAACGTCTAGACTGCTTGGCAAAGACACATGCGTGACTCGCGAGTGTGCCGTGGACACAGAGCAAAAAGACACAGAGTCCTGAGTTAGACAATCCCGGCCACCCACCCACATGGAAACCTCACACCTCGGGGTCGGCCCACTGGGCGCAGCCCCACAGCCCCACGCCACCTCCTTCCGAGGAACGACCCCTCGCGGCGTGGCTGGCAGTCACCCCCGCCTCCGCCAAGGAAGAACTCGGGGTCACTTCTCCTCCTAGACTTTCTTTTCTGCACGACTCAGGGTCGCGGAGCAGCAGAGGGCCTGGGGGGGGCTGGGGAGCCTGGGGGGACCCGGCGGCGCCTACCTTCCAGCGCCGAGAGCTGCCGCTCGGCTTCCAGGTAGAGCTGGGAGAAGACAGGCCGGGGCACCAGGCTGCTGGAGCGCAGGGAGGCCTCGATGGAGTTGTGCAGCACCTCCTCGAAGCGCGTGGTCTTCAGCTGCCCGGCGTAGGAGTTCCCCATCTTCCGCGGGGCCGGCACGCTCTGCTCAAAACATCGCAGGGCAGGGGCGGTCAGCAGCCGGGGCGGTCAGCAGCCAGGCTGGCCGGAGCCCGGGCGGGAGGGGCCTGCGGGAGGGGCGGCCGGTGGGCGCAGGGCAGGAAGTCATATAAGTAACAGCCCCAGCCTCCTGGAATGGGCTGCCAGAACTCGGCTCTGGGAGGTAAGCCCACCCCCGACCCCCCAGACAAATGAGGCTTTATCTTCCTGGACCTCCAGGGCAGCCCTGCACCCCTCTGCAGACAGGGCGGCGGCTGACCAGCGCCAGCTGGAGAGTGACAGGACGTGGACCCTCACCGGCTCAGGGGCAGGCCGCAGACCCCAATTCCTTTATGATGTTTCCCTTATACAATGAGGAATGACACCTGGACGATCTAGCAATCAGAGAGGAGGCGGAAAAGCCTGTGTGTTGTGGGGGGGAGTCACAGCCACTTCCTTCCCCCAAAAGAACGGCTGTGATTTTATTTTCTTGGTAGCCAGTTGACCAGAATAGAAAACACAGACCAAACTGTCCATCCAGTGGGAGGGTTGAGTCACTGGGTTCTGGCATCTTCGGCGCTGTGGTCAGTGGAGCAAGGACAGAACATTTTCATCCCCCCAGAAGAAGCCTCCTACCCTGTAGTGGTCAGGCCCCAACCCCCCGGGTCCCCTAGCCACAGGTAACCACTGGTTTGCTTTCTGTCTCTGAGGCTTTGCCTCCCCTGGAAACTCCCTAGAATGGAATCACACGGTCTGCAAGGTTGTGTGACCGGCTCAGCACAATGTTCTCAAGACTCGTCTGTGTGTGCAGCTGGACTGGGCTTCGTTGCCATGGAGACATTTTGATGCGTCTCCCCAGACTTGATTCCTTCCAGAACTTGGGAAGGGGAGTGATGAAAGCCTATATTTACAAGTTATAATTATTCAAGAAAGCGTTTTTTATTCTTTTTTCACTTGATGTTACAGGTCACCCAATCCTTACACATGCCTTGCATTTGAAACCATTTTGATGGCTGCATCATATTCTACTGATCAAGGTGGAGAGTATCTGCTCAGAATTCTTTCAGATAATGCCTCTGTCAAATCTCTATCTTTAGTTCTTCCCAAGAATCAGCATTTATATTTATTTTCCACTTGTTTTCTCGATTTCTCTAAGCTTAGCTTCATCTGGATTCCCTTCTTCTATCTCCTTTTGCTGTATTTTTTTCAAACTTCTTAAAATGATTATCATCATCTTTATCGCTCGCCTGTCGGTGTTTTCCTCTGGGCACCTCCTTTGCTATGGCACATAGGTTTAGTGTAAGTTTCTTTTCATCTATTTTTAGGCAGTTTATGATCTCCCCTTGGATTCCCTCTTTGATGCGATAATTATCCAGGAGTGCATGTTCAATTTCTAAACAGTCAAGACTTGGAGGGAGAGAGGTCAGCCTTATTTTATCCATTTCTGACTTTTATTGCATCGTGATAACAACTGTGGCCTCTTTAGAAACTACTTTTTAAATTGGTTAATGGTTACTCTTTGACAGATACCTGATGGATTTTTCCAAAGACACCACTGGCAAGAGGAAAGAGACATGAACCCCCTTCAAGGGAGGAGACAGACTAGTCAGTTCTTCTATGTCCCTGCATATTACTTATCTATTACACTGTTGCTTTTCAAAGTATCATTTGACTTCAAAAAATTGCACAAAAAAAAAAAAAATAGCCAAGACACCATCCCAGACATGTCCTTAGGGCCCCAGTTTCCCACTTGGTCTCGGGGCTGCACACCCCACACGCTAGTTGTGAGACCAGCTTCCCAGCCAGGCACACTATCCCACACCGTGCAGGTGAGGAAACCGAGTCTCAGAGAGCAGGAACCCAGGGACTTAACACTTTCAAAGGTGCACTGGGATTCCAGCCAGAGTCCCTGCCTGGAGTCATAGCTCTCCCGACCCTCGGCCGTCGGCTTGCTGTGTGAGCTTGGGCAGGTTGCTAAGCTGCTCTGAACCAAACATCTTCAGAAAACCAGAACCCACAGGGGATTGAAAGAGGAAAAACACATATTAGCACATGAGATTGGTGCGGGGAGCTGCCTTCCAACAGCCAGCGCCCCTTCACACAGTCACAGATATTCTCGTTTCATTCTGGAAGGGGAAGATTATCCCCATGTTACAGACAAGGGCAAAATCCATACGGTGGCGAGGGCGGGTGGGGGGGGGGCACTTCTATAAGACAAAAAGCCCAAGTTCTTCAATCAATAAAATATGAGCCACACACGAGTGCAAAGAATCCCCCTTGTCCATTTCAAGACTGGCCTGGCCATGCAGTCAGCTCAATTTTCTGCCTCTATTGTCAGGAAGAGCCAGCCTTTCCTCTTCCAACTCAAAGTAAATGGAAACCATTAAGCACTTCCTGCCGTGGCAATAACTGCCCACCAGGCCCTTGGTCAGCCTCTGCTTATAGCCTGGGGAAATGAGCTGTTGGGAAGATTGCTGCAGGAATTAGCCCAACAAAAAGAAAGCGCTGTGAAAGGCCGAGGTCAGCTGCTGGAGCCGCTAATAGCCGAGGCACAGGGGCTCCAGCCCTCCTGTCTGCCTTTTTTCTTGACCTGCTGCACACTTCAATACGTGAATGAGTGGTTACTGGCCGCATTTGGGGCCACTTGCATTATTTTCCATTCAGGGTGGTCTGTTTAAAGCTGCCGCCAATTAACAGCGTCACAAATGCCTCCCGTTTCTATAGGATCTTAGTCTGAAAAGCTTGAGGCTCACAGAGAGAAGTTTTAAGTTTAGCCCATTTTACAGGGAGCCACTGAAGAATCGGGCTCAGAGACTGAAAGACTGACCAGGCTCCAGGCCCATCGCCCAGGGTCCGGTTCAGCTGACTTGATAATAACTGGCACCCCAAGCCCAGAGGGCTCCAGCACATAAAGCAGACCGAAGCCCAACGCGATGGAGAGAGAAAGAAGGAAGGAAACTGACATCGTCCAGCCGCAGTGCGCAGCGCTCCCTGCTTGCCACACTGGTGCCCAGCGAGGGACAGATTGAAGCCCACGTCAGCGTCTCCGAGACAAAGTAGCCTAAAGGAAGTCTTGCTGGAAGAAGAGAAGCAGAATTAGGAATGATGCCTGGAGAGGAAGGAGAGAGGGGGAAACACAAAAGACACAAGGGCATAGGGAAGATATAAAAGCTGGAAAAGAAGTAAAATTATCCTTATTTACAGGTGGCAGGATAACATACATAGAAAATTCCAAAGACTCCGCCAAAAGTTGTTAGAAACAATGGATCAGCATAGCAGAGTGGCAGGCTACTACACCAATACACAGACATTAGTTGCACTCCTATATGCAAATAATGAAGTAAAAGAGAGAGAAATCAAGAAAACAATACCATTTTCAGTGGCATCTAAAAGTATTAAATCTCTAGGAATAAACCTAGATGAAAGGCCTATTCAATGAAAACCACACGACAGTGTTGAAAGAAACAGAAGACACAAGGAAATTGAAAGCTATCCCCCCCACGTTGATTGGAAGAATCAGCACTATTAAAATGCAAAGCAATATATAGATTCAAGGCAATCTCTATCAAAGTTTCAATGGAATTGTTCAAAGAAATAAAGCAAACATTACTGAAATTTATGTGGAAGCACAAAGACCACAAATAGCCAAAATAATCCTGACCAGAAAAAGAAAAAAAGGAATGGAGACATCACAAAATATACTATAAGGCTATAGTAATCAAAACAGTCTGGTATTAGAATAAAAATAGACACACAGACCAACAGAATACAACTGAGAGCCAAAAAACCCCACACTTACATGGCCAATTAGTGTAGGACAGAGGAGCTTAGAGTATACAATGGAGAAAGGAAAGTCTTTTCAACAAATGGTGCTAGAGAAAATAGCCACATATAGCAAAATGAAACCAGACCAGTCTCCATTCTCTCCACACAACACATACACATAACTCACATAACTCAAAGTGGATTAAAGACTTGAATGTGAGACCAGAAACCATAAAATTCATGAAAGAAAATAGAGCAAAACCCTCAGTGATACTGACTTTAGGGAATTCTTTGGGGACTCAACTCCAATGGCAAGAAAAACAAAAGCAAAAATAAACACATGGGAACACATCAAACTAAAAAGCTTCGGCACAGTGAAGGAAACTATCACTAAAATGAAAAAACATCCTACCAAATGGGAGAAAATATTTGCACATCAAACATTGCACAAGGGACTAATATCCAAGATCTACAAACAAAATGGGAATTTCATCTTACAACCTTAAGCAAATGTTAAAGGTTTAATGTCTTACAAGCAGACAGAAACAGCAAGAGAGAAATTGCAAACCACCCCTGTGTGATGATGCATTTGAAATAATAAACGCGGTTGAATCGGGAAGAGGAAGGAGCCCTGAGAATCAGGCCAGCAGTGTGTGGTCCTTTTGGTTCTTCCCTATTGGGCCACAGTGGGCACAGCAGGCACTTTCTAGACGCCTTGTGGTCTGGTGGTGGGGGTGCTACCTTACAGACAAACCCCCTGCAGGGCGAGGGGTTTGGGACCAGCAGCCAAAGCAGCCTGGGCCACAGGCGGCTGGGGCCCCACAGCAGGTTAGAATCCTGTACGTGGCAGAATCCTGTACTTGGCAGAATCCTGTACTAAGGACCAGAGGAGGAGAGCCTAGCCCGAGGTCGCATGCAAAAGCCCAAATCCTCCCAAACGCTCCTGAAGCCAAGCGCACCCCTGCATAGCTGGCGCCACTCACACCTGTGCACTAGACTCCACCGCAGAGAGTCAAGTTGGTCAACTGCTATGTTACCCCCATACCCTGACACGTCACACTGTGTGCCAAGGCTGGGGTCCTCACCAGCTAGCACCTGGATCCTAGAACCAACCCAGTGGCCGTCGTGGCCAAAGGGTGGTCAAACCACAGACTGTGCCTTAAGCACAATGGCCTGGCTATAGCGTCTGACAAGGGCACATGTGACTCATCGGGCCTCAGTGCTCCCAGCTGTAAAATGGGATTGCTTGGTGGCTGCAGAGAGTACAAGAGGCAGCAAGTGTGAAAGTGGCCTGCACAGCAGTGAGTAGTGGGTGCACGAGCATCAATTTCTAGCTAAATCTGAATATTCACATGAAAAGGTAAACATTTCAGATCAAAAATGACAAATGACCGAAAGTGTTATAAACCACGGCACAACAATGAAAGGGGAATGGTGGAGGATCAGTGAGAACTTGGGGAACCAGAAAGGACTAGTGGATCAAAAGTAAAAAAAAAAAAAAAATTCCTCCCTGGTGGTGCAAGGGGTTAAGTCTCAGCACAATGAAGCTATCTGCAGCCATTGCAGCATGAGTTCAATCCCCAGCCAGGGAGCTACCCACATGGCACAGCAGATCTCTCCTGACTCACCGCTGCTCCCCTCAGCAGTGTTAGATCTGCCTGTTCTGCAACCAACTCTGTCTCTGGTGAGTCCTCTCACCACACCCCCCATATCTCTGGCCTATACCCCAGTTCTTGGATGCATAAATAAAATAAATCTTAAAAAATAAAGGCTATTTTTAGCAAAAATAAAAGCAACTTGGGAATAACATTTGGAAAGGAACATGCTCCAAGAATACAGACATGGTAAAGGGGAAGGAAGGAAGCTCTTAGCAAATGGTTTACAGGACGTCACTGGGAGAGAGTCTAATCAAAACTAAAGGTAAAAATTGGGAACTGTTTTAGGAGGCAACACAGTCCCTGAAGGTTCGGAACTAGGGGTGTATGATGATGAGGGCATGTTTCAGGCGGGCCAATCAGACAGGGGTGTTTAGATAAAATTGGAGGGAAGACCTGGAGGAAGACAGCCTGGTGGGTGCTGCTTCCATTGGACCTGTCCATTCCTGCTGCTTTTAAGAGTGAGACACAAAAAAGTTCCTGGAAAACTCAGCCCGTGGACATGCAGTTGGCCGGCAGCTGGTGGATTCCCAGACGATCACCAGATGTGGGTCTATTTCACCAAGTCAATATCACCCTCTGTCCACTCAAGCCCAGAACCAGGACTTCTGCGAGACCGTCTGACCTCACCCAGGACTTGACCCGATGAAGCAGACCAGCGCCAGGAGAGCATGGGCGAGCAATCTGGACATGCTCCCTCTCCCCATCCTTCCAGAACACTCACAGCTCTAACCGTGGCTGAATCGGCACCAGTATACACTTACAGCTTGCTAGAAAGAAAATTTCCGTTCCGTACAAGCTGCCTGTCCTGCAGCTGCTACTTTTCTGGAAGGACGGGGGAAAGGCAGGGTCCGCGAGGGTGTGTGATGGGGAAGGCAGGCGGGGGCGTGGGTGGGAAAGCAAAATCCTCCCATTCCACAGCGAGCGCGCAAAAGCGATCTAGAAGGAAGAAATGGCAGCACACATTGTTATTTGTAAATAAAGGGGTAAATTCCAGGAAATAATAAAAAACAGAAAACGGCTGCCTCTCGGGAATGGGAACTGAATGGAACACGGTGGAGTCGGCTGGTTTTCGCTAGAAAGCTTCTATGTGCCTGAACTTCCCTAGACGACGCGCACACTTCCATCTCACGAGAGTGGAAGGCTGCACTGAGCATCTCCGGTGATTCACCAGCCCTGGGAAAAAAGCTCATTTTGCAGATGCGGAGACGGAGCTGGGGGACATGGTCTTCCCGCCGCTATGATCTCCTTCCTCGGCGGGAACCCCGACAGCCTTTTAAGCAGCGATGCGCAGAGCGACACTAGCGCAGCCCGTAGTGCGACGCTGACCTTGACGGACACTCACGTGCCCTGAAACACGCGCCTCGTGGTCCTCAGTTCACAGACAGGACACAGGCAGGGCGGGAGGGCAGGCGCCCCAGCTCACACTCGTGACCCCCGAACCCGAGCGTCTGCTTTCGATGAAGCCGCTGACTTGAGAGAAGGGATGTTTCCTGAAGTTACCGGTGTAGACCTTTCTACCACCAGACGGTCACGGGTCCAGGCGGGCTAAAATGGTTGGTTAGAAAAAGGATGACCTTGGGTTCTTGCTTAAAGGGGTTTTCGACTAAAGGGGGGCTGCGATGAGAAATTAAAGCCTCCATCAATGCAAAGTCCCATTTAGAGGACACCTTTCTGGGCAGACAAAGGAGGGGCGCAGTCGAGGAATGCTCCCTGAGAAGGTCTGCGTGAGGGGGGCCGGGGCTGCCGGGCAGGCAAAGCAAACAAACACTCCTCCGGGCCTGGACAGTGTCCAGTGTCCCCGCTCCACGGCCCACCAGCCCTCCCTGGAGATTAAAGCAGGGCCCCCAGGCTCCAGCCCGGTCAGAGAGAAATACTCTCACCTGGCCTCTCCTAAAAGTGACGTTAGTCCTTTTCTATTTTGAAAAACGGACTCTCCAAAGGTTTCACCCCAGCAAAAGGGAGGCAAGTGCCTTTATCTTGACAGACTCGCCGCACTGACTGAGGCGCTTGGGGAGAAGCGCAGTCTGGCCCCAATCACCGACCTTCCTCGGGGACTTCCCTCGGCCTTTCATCAGATAAGCGGTCAGGTCAGGCACTTCCGCCTGTGCCAGAGCCCCGATCTGTCAACAAGAGCGACTGAGTGCCTGCAACTCACTTCCAAAGCCAGCACCCAGCTCTGGGGGCCCCTGGGGGCCGCACTCATCTTTGAGTCACCTCCCTGCCACGCACAGGGTGCCCCGGAGACCTCCGCTCACTCCCCACGGTCACCCACTGCTCAGATGTTCGCTCCATGAATGGAGACTGATGCCCGCACGTGCCGAGAACCAGCAGTTCAGTCCACAGGCCACGTCTCGTCCCACCAAGCCCGCAGGACCGGAAGAGGACCTGGCAGGCCCCTTCAATGCAGAACGAACCTCTCGGGCACGCAGGATGTCACCAGCATCAGTTGATCGAACTCAGAGCTTGCAAATCTGCTAATCTGCTATGGGTAAAAAGCATGTGCTTTGACCAGGGGCTTCTTTTAAGCTGAGTGGCCCTGGGCAAGTCAGCTAAGCTCTCTGACCTCTGTTTCCTCGGCTGTAAATGAGGGTTGTAAGAACTCGCTTCCAGAAGGTGCAGTGGACTAGCTTTGTAAGGCAGCTGGCAAAGAGAAGACACTAACCGAATTCAAGTTTCCTCTCTAAAACTGAAATGAGGGGCCTCCCCAGTGGTGCAGCGGGTTGAGCATTGTGCTATGAAACTGTCTGCAGCCTCTGCAGTGCAGGTTCAATTCCCGGGCTAGAGAGATACCCACATGGCGTGGCAGACCTCTCCTGTCTCGCCCACTGCTCCCTTCGGCAGTGCCTTTGTCCTGGTCTGTCTGCCTGTTCTGCTCCCGGCTCTATCTCTGGTGAATTTTCTCGCCCTCCCACGCCTCTGACCTGTATCCCAGTTCCTGTATAAATAAATAAATCTTTAATAAAATAAAATAAAATTGAAATAAACTGCTCATAATTCTAATTTCTAGATGTTAACCAAAGATCTTGATTTAATTCAATCCACAGCCTCAAACTGGCTTCCCTTAGCGTGTGCCCACCGAGGGGCCTATCCAAGCAGGTATCACCCTGTGCCCCTAACACCCCCCCCACCCCGAGCTTGAAGGTGCTTGACAGCAGGAACTATTCAGTCACCTCTTTATTTCCCGTGGTGCCTGGGACACTGCACACCCCCCAGAAACAACTCCTAAAAAGAGCACAGGGGAGACGCAGGGCCCCAGTGCAAGATCAGAGTCGGGGCTGTAAAGGAAGGAGCGAGGCCTGCGCCAAGGCAGGCAGAGGCCCCAGCTTTCTCTTTAGGTCCTCTGGGCATCCCCACCCGTGTCCCTGCTGCTTTCTGCTCCAGCAAGGTCAGCATGAACTGTGCCTTCCAGAACAGCATGCCCTGCAGGGCTGGTTCCTCCTGCAACAAAATGATCTGCTCCCCCTTCTGCCCCACCCTCCCCTGCGCCAGGGTTTCCCCTAAGGCGGCGTGTGTTTGTGTGTCCCCCACTTCCAGGGCTTTGCGCTTCAGGGAGCACCAGCCCTGTGACCAACTCTGCACTCTCCAGAAAAGCACACGTGGCCAGGGAGCGGTGGGGGTCTGCACACCCCCACCCTTCACCCCACCCCCACCCCAGGCCACCCCAGGCTTGAAGGGAGGCCTCCGCTGGAGGCCTTAGGATCTCAAGACCGACCTGAGAGAGCCGGGTCTGGGCTGAGCTACAAGTGGGCCACGTCTGGTCTGCTCTGAGCCTCCTCTGGGAGAAAGGGCAGTTTCCTCTTCCAGAATCACCACTTGCGTTTTGCAGTTAAACGCCCCAGTCACCAAAGCAGGACACAGGCGGAAACACTGCCTTCCACCGGGTAAGGCCAACAGGCTGCGTCCCCAACCTGAAGACGCTCGCAGGAGGCGCCTCGGGAAACAACCGGCTGCAAATGCGTGTGGCTGTGGCTGCGGGCCGGCAAGGCGGGGGAGGGGAGGGCTGCACCTCCCCCTTGGGGTGGCTGGAGTGAGGAGGAGGAGTCGGACTTGCCAGCTGAAAGGAGGAACAGGCATGCGGGGCAGGAGCTGCAGCAGGGACGGGGCGACACCCACTGTGTGATGGGGAGCACCGGCAGGCCTGAAGGCTGGCACTCACGGAGCCGGTGTGAGTGCGGGTGCCAGGGTGGCGAGTGGCCGCTAAGGACTGAGCCTGTTCCCGAGGATTAACCCTGGGGAGCCAGGGGAGGGCTGTGGGCAGGCCTGGAACTCAGACTGTATTGGAGGGGTACCACCCAGGCTCCCCAGGCCTGCAGAGGTGGGGCACTACAGGCGCAGCGGCCTGGGGAGGAGGAAGCTGGTGGGGTCACCCTCCCAGAGCTGAACCCGAGCAGCCTGAGCCCGACTTGGGCGCCGATGCTCTGCTGAGCCCGCCTGCCTGGAAGCCTCGCTCCGTCTGCACCCCCTAATCTTTGTCTTCTGTCTCCCCTCAAGCGGCTGTCGCTCGGTCAAAGCTGGAGTTCAAGTTCACACAAAAGGAACCTTTCCTCGGCTACTGCCAGGCCTCGCTCCCGCCCTTTCTGTCACTGGTCTCCACGCCGAACCCATCCAAGCACACCAGCAGTCCCCACTCCCTCCAAGCCGAGGCCTCCCACCCCCAGCATCCCTGCTGGCCTTGCAGGGCCTCCCGGTTTGGTGACTCACACTGCCTCAGCTGGCCCCAGTGACACAGCCCCCCAGAGTCCTACCAGGACACCCCCAACTCAGACCTGAAATGGCCGGCCCCCATTCCTTCCTCCCCGCCTCCTCGTAGCACAGCTGAAGCCCCGGCCAGCACACAAGTCTGGTGTTTCAAAAACCACCCCAAAAGCAAAGCCCTCTCAAGACGGTGCTTTCAAGCTCGTGCTGTCACTTCCCACTGCCCAGGGGCCTCCTCCGGACGGAGGGGCGCTCAGCCCGCATATATGATGTGGCCATAAAGGCATTCCCTGCGTTATGGTCTCCCATAAAGGTTTTGACAGCCACCCCCTGGCAGGAAACGCCACATTCTAATGTAGATTTCTCGGATTTTCCCGGAGGAACTCATAAACCTCACAGGTGTCATGACAGGAAGAGCAGCCCCAGCCGGCGGGGCTGGGGGCCTGGCTTCCGACTCAACTCATCGACTCATCAGCTGAGCCGGTCCTGGGGCCGCCACCCACCAGGCAGCCAGAAGTACCTTCAGAATAAACCCGGCAGAGAAGAAATGGCTGAGAAAGTCTCTCCAGAAACCTCCAGGCGGGGTCCAGGGCGGCGGGTCTCAGCCGAGCGCCACAGTCCTCCTCACTGCTTCCGTGTCCCCCCGACGCCAAGCAACGCACTCGCAAGGCTGTGGATGTCATTTCCAAAAATAAAAACAAGGAAGCATCATTTTTTAGGTGGACTTGGGGAGGCGGGGGGCTCCCCTGCCTCTTCCTAGAAGCTCGTGCTCTGCCATGACCCTGCCGGGCCCAGCCTTTATAAGACGCAAAACGCTGACCCCAACCTTCCCCAGCCCAGAGTCACAGGCCCCGCGCCTTACCAAGAGCGGATGTTCCAGCCGCCCGTAAACCAGCCAGTCAAGAGCGGGCTGAGCGCGGCACGTGGGCGCTCTGGCAGGGGCTCCCGCCCGCCGGGACTGCGCCTTTGATGGAGCAGGGAGCCCCGCCGCTCCCAGAACAGCGCCAGGTCAGCCTGACACCCTGGGCCCCCGCCCTGCGCAGGCAGCCAAGCACCCAGGAGGGGTCTGCCAGTTCCTGCAGCGGAACAAGCCGCAGGGGAAATCAGGTACAAGCCGCAGGGGAAGCCAGACCTCCCGAGTCGTGTTCCATCTGGCCCCGGCTCCCGCTGGGCTGGACACGACCGTCTCCTGGCGCTGGGGCGCGCGCTGGGTCAGCGTGCTCCCTCGCAGGTACAGGCCAGTCTGTCTCAGCAGCCGCGGCTAAGGCGGGACTGTCCACAACGCGAAGGTTTTGTGCCTGGAGAGGAACCAGTAGCGGCCCAGAGAACAAAGGGGCAGGGAAGGCACTGGCTTGGCCCTCTGAGGACCCCAGGTGCAGGTGCCCCAGAAACATGAGCCCCTCAAAACCAGCACCTCCCCTCCCAGAGGAGGAGCTGCACACCCAGGAGGGAAGCTCCCCTAGGGGCACAGATGCACCCTCTTAAGCTTCTTTTATTTAAATCGCTGCCATCACCAAGCAAATCAAGGCTCTCCAGCAACCCTCACAGCCCTGGTCACTTTCTCCCCCCGCGGCTGACTCTTACAAAGCCAGGAACCGTCCAGACCCTCACTGAAAAAGGCAAGCAAAGAAATAACAGGAGTCACCTTCCCTGGCCTCCATGCCTCTAATGGGTTTTGTCATCTCGCAACATCTTTTATTTGATGGCAAAGATGACTGGGTGTGACCCAGCGGCGGGGTGTCCATGTCCTTCCCCTTTTGACAAGACCCAAAGAGCTGATGGCTCACGAGGGTGTCCCTATCAGGGGCAATCCTCAGTTGTTCCTCCCCGGGGTCCACACCGCACGCCTGCTCCTTCCCCAGCAGAGCTCGGCTCCCTGGAAGGCCCCCAGGGCCCCAGCCTGCCCCACACCCTCCTGGCAAGCACACAGCGGCCCCTGCTGGCTCCGCCTCACCAAGGCTCTGGGGGTCTTGACTCAAAGGCCGGGGCCAAGGCCTCACAGACCAGGAGGCAAATGAGGTCTGAAACAGATGGACAGATGGACAGGAAAGGAGCTTGACCCCACAAGGGGCGCTGCCACCTTCTGAGCTGGCCACGCAGCATGCACTGTCAGTCACGGGGGAGGCAGGCACTGCAGAAATGCCCCACAAGAAAGGGATGGGGGCTGGGTGCAGTTTCCAGGGCCCATGGGCACCAAAGCGCATGCAGGAAGTTTCCCCCAAAATGCAGATATGCATAGACCACTCAGCGAAAAGAAGTTAGATTGTCATAGGAAAATGTACATGTATATAGAATGTAATATTCGACGTATCAACGAGAGATGGAGGGCAGAGACTAAGAAGACGGGCTGTGAGCCCAGGCTTGGGTTTGAGTCTTGACTTTACTGAACATTAAGCCTCGAGCAATTTCCTTAACCTTTATATTCAACTCAGTTTCCCCAGTTGAAAGAAAGGATAATAGGCCTCCCTGGTGGTGCAGGGGTTAAAGTCTCAGTGCTATCAAGCTATTATTGCCAGTCACCGAGGCATGAGTTCGATCCCCGACCAGGGAGGTGACCCACATGGCATAGCAGACCTGTCCTGTCTCCCTGCTGCTCCCCTCAGCAGTGTATTTCAGTCAGCCTGCCTGTTCTGCTCCCCACTCTGTCTCTGGTGAATCCTCTCACCCCTCCACATCTTTGGCCTGCACCCCAGTTCTTGTATGCATAAATAAATAAAAATAAATCTTTTAAAAAAAAAGAAACAGGGGATAATAACAGCAGTTTAGTTGTGTGGGTTCAATGCATTAATATGCATTGTGAATGTTACAGACACAACATTTACTGTACTGATACTAACAAGTATTATCATTACTAAGCTTTCAACCTGTGGGGAAATAAATAAAATGCCTCAAAGTGATTTCAAAATGTCTGCAGTGGTTACCTCTAAGTGAAAGAATTCAAGATTGTTTTTTCTGCTTCTTTCATCTTTTCTATAATTTGCTAACTTTTAATTGACACCAGTTGTTGTCATCGGGAGAAGAAAATTAGAAGGACTTGCCTTCATTGGGTCTGAAATATCTTTGAACTGACACTCCGTTCCCACCTGTCAAAATTGTCAAAATAGGCTTCTGAGGTGCTTAAAGAGGAGAGCTCACCCCAATGTCAGCTCTGATCGGGGCTCCTTCTGCACAGGAGAGAAGCACCTTCAGCATGAAGCCAGAATTCCCATCTGCCATTTGACGTTCAATGCCAAGGTCTCTGGCTGCCACAAACCCTTCCACATCGCACGTCACTGTCCAAGCCCCTCCCACATCCAACACGACAAGCACAGACCGAGTCACCCTTTCAGAGGCCAACATCAGCATCTGGGACCGATGTGTTCACTTCAGTTTTCTTTCTGATCACAAAGGCTAGAAGTGACTGGATGACTTTCAAAAGCAGTCACTGTCCAGCAAAGTGACCGTGACCACCACAGGCAACAAGGGCACAGGCTTGGCTCACAGAATGTTTCCCTGTGTTTCTCGGATCCTGTTAGATCTGTTGACTTGTGGGAACTGTGGGGCGGGTGCTGCCAGGCTGCAGGCTCGTTCCCAGAGGCTCCACGTCGATCTCAGCAACCTTCCTTGTGCCTGCTCTGGAAGTCCTTACCCCTCCCTCATGACATAAACTTCTATTCATCCTTCAAAACCTATTCAAACATCTCCAGCTGGGCGGCCTGGCCTCCCTAAACAGACTTTGTTTAGTTTAAGGAACTTCCAGAAGCTGGACTAGAGCTAGGTGGGTGGCAGATGCGGGTGAAGGCCACGGCAGTGAGGTGCAGACCCAGAGGACGCCCATGGACCCTACAGAAACCCGCAGGCTCTCCCCCTGGACTCTGGCGTGTTAGGTAGAGTGAGAAGCCACATCAAAACCAGGATTCTTGTTGAGACACTGTCTGCAGAGCACCTGGCCCCTGCACCTCCGACCCTGGGGGCAGCGAGGACGTGGCATGCACCCCAGATGCTCTGAGTCAAGCCGGGAGGACAAGGTCGCGACACAGCCGGGACCCGGCCACACAGGCCCTGGAACACCAGGACTCTGTCCTGGGCACCCTGACAGCAGCGCCTGCTGCCCGCAAGGCCCCAGAGGACACAGCGCTCCCAGGTGACTTTCTCCCTCGTGCCTAAGCACCCACGGAATCCAGCAGTCACCCCGAATCTGAAGGGGACAGAAGCATGAGGAAACCTCTAGGAGACAAGACACAAAGCAATCAGAGAAAAGCCAGCGACACAGACAGATCTTTTTAAAATAACTACTATCTGAGAGTTCGGGGAGCTCTGTGCCGGCTGCCCATTCACGCGGTGGGGTGAAGCTGTGCTCCCCTTTCTACCAGGTGTTTATCTCTTGTTTCAATGTGTCCTTTATGATGCCCCCCAATGTGCTGCCCCAGCCCCAGGCCAGGGCCCCGCCACTCTGGCTTTAGCGGGAGCGACACCTCCGTGCATTTGGGCTGCTCTAACACCACCAGGATGGGGGCGGCCGCAGCACA